ACCCTGAGTTTGTAACGGTGTCCTCGGGTCTTACAGGGTTCGCGCAGGTGAAATATTGGCCGCAATATGGGGAAGTGATTTAAGTGTAGTACTCGATGGGTCATAATAAGGTCAATTCGTTCTTGGCGGTATGACAATGTGTAGAGTACGAGCCTTTCATGGCGTTTTTCATATGGAAGCTTCCGTAGACTCGGTATCATTCCAGTTGAGATATGCCGTATTTTCTCCAGCTTTTCAGTTTCCCACTGGTTATCGGATGATAAGCTGGGACACCGTATTCAAGCATTGGTCTGATGAGCGAGGTGAATAGGCGAGGGACGGTTTCTTCGGACCATGTGGAGAAACTTCGTCTTAATGCCAACAGCATACGAAGTCCCGCACTGTACAATTTCTCTGTATTTTCTAGTGATCTCATATCATGTTGTGATAGAACTCCTAAGTCTCTGACAGATGTGTTGAAGTGGAGCAACTGGCCATCCAAGGTGTATGATTGAGTGGCTGGACGTCTGGTGCTACTAATGAACTCTGACTTGCTTGCGTTAAGAGAGAGTTGCATTTCGGTGGACCACATCGATATTCTGGAGGCGAGCGCAGTCGTCGTGGTTCTCTTTGATCCTCCAGATTTTCAAATCATCTGCAAACAGGGCACATGGTGACTGGAGCTGCTGCGGAAGATCCTTCATATGAATAAGGAATAACACTGGCCCATTTACAGTCCTTGACGCACGCCATTGGTCGATGAGAACCAGCCTGTCAGGTAGTCATTGACATGTACACTAAACCTTCGTCCCACAATAAACTCGTGTAACCACTGAAGTAACGTACCACCGATTCCGTATGTCCTCAGTTAACGAAGGAGTACCTCGTGGTTTACTCTGTCAAACGCCTTACTAAAGTCGATGTACACCACGTCAACATCTTTCCGTTCGTTGAGAGCTCGTACCCACTGGTGGTTTACGTACATCAAGTTGGTGATGCAGGATCGCCCTTTCGTAAAGCCGTGTTGCGCTGGCGTCAATACGTCCATCGATTCGAAGAACGACAGCAGACACTTTTTCACAACCTTCTCAAGGACTTTGGATAATACCGAAGTCAAGCAGATCGGTCTATAGTTCCCTATTTTACTCGGATCCCTACCCTTGGGAAGTGGTCTCACTATCGAGCATTTCCAGTCGTTGGTGACAGATCCTTCAGAGAGTGATTTATTGAGTAGGTTTGTCACGGCTGGTGAGATGATTATCGATAGGGACTTGAGTATTAATGGGCGTAGTCCATCTGGTCCGGGGGGCTTAGCACCGTCGAGGTTGACGAGTAGTTGCTACACTTCGATTGCATCACATTGTACCCTGTCGAGCCAGACTTGCGCAACCTGTGCCGGTACTGAAACCGCCGCCGGTTTACTGGCAAATACAGTGCGGAAGTACGTAGCCAAGACGTCCACGCTCTCCGCGCTTGAAATGAGCCTCTTTCCGTCCAAACCCTCTGAGATCGGTAGGTCGCCCCCGGATTTCAGTTGACGTTTCAAGTAGGCTAATATTCTTTTGGGTGCAGTTGTGGCCGATGATGCTAGCTCCTCTTCGAACTGCTGGCGTTTCTTGATCTTTGCGGCGTTACATAAGTTTCGCTGTTTCTTGTACACCGTGTAATCTTTATCACAACCCGAGCTGATGTATCTATCCCAACCTTTGCGTCGCCGTCGCGCTAACTGTCTCTATTCCCTATCAAACCAATGCAGTTTGACTGGTCCGATTTTTGTATACTTAAGGTGAACGAACTGAGTACAGAGCGAGTTAAGCTTCCCCTTCATTAATGACCAACAGGCCTCAAGTGACGCATCCTGTGGTAGTGTCCAATCAGTCTGACTTGCGGCTTGGACGAGCCCGTTGAAGTCCGTCTTCCAATAGTTGAATGTCGGCTTCCGTTGATTGTAATATGGTAACTACAGTTCTAAGCTTACCACAATGGAGCAGTGGTCACTGTTCGCCAGTGGTTCGATGACTCTGATCTCGTTCAGCTTCTGCTCGCAGCTCGTAAACATTAGGTCCAGACAAGATGCCGAGTGCGTAGTTACGCGCGTCGGTTGGATGACATGTTGCGTTGCCCCGATTTCAGTAGTCATCTTAGCGAATTGTGCCTCAACGTTGCCATGACCGGGAAGAAGTCGAACGTCTGGCCAAAATATCTTGGGTAAATTTAGACCCCCCATCAGTAAGAACTGAGGCCGCTCATGTGCTTCTGTACATGTGGTAGCGAATGGCAACAACGGTTTAATGGGCTCCGGTAGATAACCCCCACTATTAGTTCTGCGCGTCTGAGGCGGATTGTGCACCACAATTGTTCGCATAAACTATCCACGCTCCGGTAGGTGCTGGTAAGTTGGCCAGATAGTGACGATTTTATGTACAACAGAACACCACCGTGAACCTTTGATTTTTCGTCGCATCGGAAACAAGAGTATTCTGACAAGGCGACTTCTTGGGATATGACGTCGGAGTTCAGACAAGTCTCTGCAAGTCCTAAAACGTCCGGCCGCTCCGAGACAACGAAGCGACACAGTTTGTCACGTTTGTTCATTCGGCTGCACACGTTGGCGAATGCCACACGGATGTCCTGGGAGGTACTGCGGGACGTGCCTGGAGGTTGAGCAACCGGTTGATACGGCTTCGTACACCCTTATTGATTACCCGAAAATTTACAATTTGCAAGTCAGTCTCACCTTCCTCTCCTAATCTGTGACAGCTCACAAACGTGTCAAACGGCACTGGACAGATTAGCACTAGCTGTCCGTCACTTCGGGCTTTGCTTCGCACCCTCGAAATGCAAAGCGTTCCTTCAAGATTGGTCTGGACCGCCTCCTACGCTGACCGTTGGTGGGGATCAGCTAGAAGTCGTTCAAAAATTCTACTACCTGGGAATTTGTATCAGCGCCCGTGGGATTGAGAATGAGATCACGAACCGAATAGCAAAAGCTCGGGGGCGCTTTTGCTAACCTTCGCCACTTATGGCGCCAGCGCGACATCACTCTTTCCTTGAAGGGTAGAGTGTACAATGCAGCGGTACGTTCGACCCTACTGTACGGTTGTGAAACCTGGCCGCTTAAAGCAGCGGACCTGAAGAGGCTAGTTACGTTCGATCACCGGTGTCTTCGTAATTTAGCTCACACCTGGTGGGAACACCGCGTGAGCAACGAGCGTGTTCGACGCCTTGTTTACGGCACAGGAAAAGGAAATGAACTGCTCAGCACCGTTATTTCACGCACCAGGCTCCGATGGCTCGGCCACGTGTTACGCATGCCAGCCCACCGACTCCCGCGACGTGCGTTGTTTGCGCGCCGGGGGTGTGGATGGAAGAAGAGGAGTGGTGGCCAAGCGATGACTTGATCGAGAGGAATGAAGGCCCTCACTTCTGAGCTGGCCTCGGTTGGAGCGTCTCGGCTCCCTGGTTGGGGTCCGAAAGACGATGAACACGTTTGGTTGAACACACTTGCTGATATGGCTAGGAGCCGATCTGAGTGGCGTTCGTGCTGTGAGTTTCTTTGTCCCACCCCATCCCTCTTAGCCTCCCCCTCCAATCAAGATCTCATTATTTAACCTTATTTAATTTTGCATAGTAATTTTTTTGATGCATAGTCGCCGGCAGGTAGCTTACCGGAACGATGCCCATCCGTTACCGGTAGCTCAGCCGGCTTGCTCCAGCTGAATTCTTTTTTTCTCCTTTTTTCTGTGTATTGCAGCACAGTAGCTGAGGTGTTCCCCGCCTCTTGCTAACGTGTATAATGATAATGTCACCTTCCTCTGTACGGCGTTTGAGCTCAATGACCGCAGTCTTCAAATGATCCCTGTCTTCGGGTTCCAAATCTCGCGGATGTGAACTTTTATGCCTTTCAGCCTTGACAGACGAGACAGTGTGAGCTGCAGCATATTGGGATTTGCATAGGTGATTCTCAGAGGTCGACATGACTGGTTACTTTTCTGGCCAAGTTGGATTATTTGTTTAATCGTCACACTGTCTTCGCCCACATCCAAGAGTCTATCGATGAGCCCCTGGAGGAACTCAACATCGTGAGCATAACGTATCTGAGGGTTTTCATTGTTTGACTCCGGTGCGTGGAAGACCATGAGATTATGACGCCTCAGCGAAATGAGTGATGAACTTATGGGAGCAGAACTAGAGGCGCTTAACTGATTGGGTTGTTGTTTATAAGCAGGTGACGTCTGAACTCGATTACGTGGGTCCTTGCGCTTTTGAGTGGTCCATGGATCCTCGGTGTTCAGAAGGTCACAGACAGACTCTGAGAAATTCACTGACCTATCAGTGAAGCGGCATTGCGTAGCTTCCGAGTCTTAGTCTTCCATTGGTGGGGAACATTGAACCTGTTCATGTTCTACAACCTACCTTCCTTTATCTCACATCCCGCAGCATTGCTGTACTACTATGATATCTTCTGTTCAGCGCATCTGCATTACATGCTGCGCGTGACTTCAAATGGCTATTATCTGCTTGAAGGAGCCCAAGGTCCAAGCAGAATTGCGCATTTGGTAAATATCATAGAACCTATGCACCAGCTCTAAGCCCAGCCGTTCCACTCATAGTCGAATTTTCTCCTAGAGGATGCGTAGTACACGCTTCTTTTGTATCCACTCTTAATGCACATATATCCTCGGCTCCAAAGCGTTTTTCTGTTACCGCGTTGGTATGTTCCGCTCTTGGCTCATGATCGTCCGCCTCTCTTGTCGCTTTATACTACTGATACTTGGCGCAGTAGTACCTCCTTTTTGGCCCTCTACATACGAATTACTTTACTGGCCAGTGCTTTACTCTTGTAAGGATGCTTCTTTGTGTGGCACATTTTACTGATCCCGTTTTGATTGCATGCGACCTGAAACATTAGCCCTGTCGTATTCGATCATGCCTTGCCCTATCCCGTCATATTTGTCATCCACACACTCATCTTTTTCGTTTACTAATGCACATTGCATTGGACTTATCTTTCTGTCCAGCTGCATTTGCGTCGGATTGTCCTCGGAAGTATGCAACACTGCATCACCGCAACGGAGCCAACCGCTTATCTCACACTGTTACGCATGCTGTTCCGTTCCATCGGCGGTGGAGCACACGATAAACTCTATCGGGAATTCTTCCCTCTCCTTCCAGAGATGTTGACCACGTTGAACCGGCTTTTACGGTCTCCGCACCGAGCCAACGCTCGAGATCTCCTGGGCGAGTTGTGCGTTATTGTCCCCGTTCGATTGTCCACTCTACTGCCATATCTGTCCCTATTGATGGAACCGTTGATTTATGTGTTGAATTGCAGCACAGTCAATCAGGTGAGTGTTAGGGGTACAATACATTACAACAAACTCTCATCTTAACGCGTCCGTTCCCTGGTATCTATGCTAACACTCTTTTTTGTTTTTACGATTGGCGTTTAGGGAACACTTGCTCTGAAAGCGGTTACATGCAATGGTATTAAACACCGTATCCATTCCTGCTTCGTTGATTACATCTTATTGGCGTTTGACTTGCCCATTTCCTATTCCGTTGTGTAATTTGGCGTTTTCTATGCTACGTTGACCATGTATTCACTTTAGGTCAGTTATTGGAGCATCACCACCTTGACGATCCACCTTATTCGTGTTCCTCGACATCAAAGATACTTACAATGTGCTCTTTGGTACCGTTTTATCAAGAAAGTTGTGTCTGAGAGATACACGAACATTACCAGAGGACTTTATTCGAATAGTTCGTGCAGAGTGAGGACTTTTGTGAAACTGTCGCCGTCCTTCCGTATCTCCAGCGGCGTGCGACAGCGATTCTTAATATTACGCATACTTTTTAACTTTCCATTGACTAAATTATGGGACATGCGTTCATTCGATACGGCTTAGCAAGTGTAGGACTGCTTCCAGGTAAACGACTTTTTGACTTGAAGTATGTCGACGATACTGCCCTACTCTGTGGCAGCTTACGAACATGCCAAACAGCACTGGACAGTTTAGCACTTGCTGTCAATCGTTTTGTACTATGCTTTACACTGTCCATGTGCAAATCCCTCCTTTAAGCTTGGTAGCGCTCACTCCCTGCATCGACCCTTTTTGGGGATCAGCTAGAAGTCGTTCAGAAATTTAAACACCTTGGTGCCTGGGTAATTGGAGGAGACCACGAATCGCGTGACAAAAGCTCGAATTGTTTTGTCCAGTCTTCGCCAATTGTGACGCCTGCACGAGATCACTCTCTTCTTGAAGGGCAGAGTTTATAATGCAGCTTTCCTTTCAACTCTACTGCACTATTGTGAAGCCTGATTAATTGGATCGGTAGACGTAAAGCGACTAGTTATCTTCGACCACCAGTGCTTTTGCAGTTTGGTTTTTATCCGGTGAAACAACGCGTGCGCACTGATCTTGTACGGCGCCTTGTTTATGGCACAAGGATTGAAAGTGAACCGTTATTTCACGGGGCCAGGCTTCTATGGCTGGGCCACATGTTGCGCATGCTAGCACATAGACTCTCGCGACGTGCGTCCTTTGCCTGCCCGGGGTCTGGATGTAAGAAAAAGTGGAGACCAAGTGACGAGTATATCAAGAGGAATTACGGCTCTTACTTCGAAGTTGCCCCGATTGCAACCGCCTGACATCTTGGCTGGGGTTCGAAAAACAATCGACACGTTTGGTTGTGGAAGGTTTTTGACGTGGCGAAGAACCGGCCTCTATCACATATGTATTGTGAGTTTCTTTGTGTTTTCCCGTCCTGCTTAGGCTTTCCCTTTACCCACGGTCCAATCGTCAGTGCATAGTATAAAACAAAGCATGATAATGTTTTTTTTGCTTTTCTTTTCTTGTCGTCTTTATTCTTTCTTTTTTGTTGCCCTTTAGTCAAGTTGTATTGCTGCACGACATCTGTGGTGATTTTTATTCATAGCTAATGTGCAGGGTGAATGAAATTTTGAATAATTACCTACTAACAGTTTTGAGCGTTTTCGGATGCTATTCCATCCTTTTCGATTTTTACAGTTTTTGTCTTAGGCCATGTTGTTAATGAGAACGGAATATTTTGGATGGCCACATCGCGGCCTTGTTGGGCACTATCGCGTTGCTTCCGAGGCAGCCCCTGTGTTCCAACTGTTTAGGTGATCTATCCACGTGACCGTTTTCTTTGTTACATCGATCCTCCTGTTTCCGTGGACGATTGGATTGCTCTGCTCTGTTGATCACAGCAGGCAATTTCATGTTTCTTTGAGGTATCTTTTCTCGTAATTTTATGGCCTCGACACATCTTCCCTGCAATTCCATCCTCCTGTGACTGTTACTTTCATTGATCTCATTATCCGACAGGGTCTGAGAACTTTGGAGTTGTGCGTGGACAATATGCAACCCGATTTTCTACACGACCATTTGTGCCAAGTGCGCGGCGACATGCTTCTGGCATTGTACAACTCCTTGCACTCTTCCAGCGAATATGTCCAGAAGATGTCGTTTAAAGTGAGTTTTTGGAATGGTACATGGTATCTACATACCGATTGCACCGCCCAGTCGCCTTCTGTTTTTCTCTTCTGTGGTTGAAGGTAAACTTCCCTTGTTGGGTTTCTCAGACAATGCCAAGTAATGCGAACCCATTCCTGCCTTACACCCCGTGTCCGGCATCGTTATTGTTTACGTGCGCACCCCGTTCGTCACGGAGTAACTTATTACCTCTAGGTACACACATTCTTGCTTGACAACGCAAGCTACTATGGCTTTGACTATGGGCACTAATTGCGCTTGCGTCGGTCATTCTCCTTGCTAGGGTAGAGAGCTACCATAGCCCCGTAGTTGGATCTCGGTTAATCATACACTTTATATGTGTAATTCGTCGTAAACTGTCATCTTGATAAGCGTGCTTAATTTACGTTTCTAATGCCAACTCCATTTTGTCGTATATCATGCTCAACGTGGGGTAATTTCTTTTCCCCCGACGGATCAACATTTCACATATCCTACGACGAAGTACGGATCATTTGGCGGCTTCACAACTTCACGTTGTTCTTGTACATTGTAGCTTTTACTCCAAGGTCGTGGAGCTTTTTCCACCCATGCGTCGCAGAAACCACTACACGAAACCTAACGTACAGCTAACCCCTATTTGAACTTCGACGCCTTAGCAGTTGGTGGAACCACGTGGTGCATGATTCGCCTGCATCTTATCAGTGCCTCTAGTAATGACACAATCGCACCCACATCGCTCACGATGGGTATTCTCTATAATCCGAAGCAGCGTTGCGGTTCGCCATCCTTTTACCTCAGCACAAACACAGTCTAATCTGCTTTTTGGCATCCAGACACGTAACTTTTCTCCATTCGAATACTCTTGCGTCAGAATGTGTTCGGATCGTCGGGACTGTGCTCGCGATTACCCTCCTGCACGTCGTAGCTGGTGGGGCTCTTCCGTGTGTACGTGTAGACATCTCGCCCAACTACGGCGTGGCGCCTTTGCTGGATCTCGATCCAGACATCACTCTCTGACTGTGTAACTTCTCTGAACCGATAACTAGGTAGTAGCCCCTTCTGTCCCCTGAAAATGTATTGCAGGAGATGGCGAAACGAACCAATGTGGGGAAGAGCTGTTTTCGAGCGTTTTATTTGCTCCGTTCTCAGCACGCAAAGGCGTCATTGAGCTCCAACATTTTCTTTCAGATCAGTGCATCACCTCCACTTCTTGCTATTTTCAACGCGACGCCATTGTTTGCTAGGTAGTCGTATCAAGTAATTGATAATTTTTCCCATGTTTACATTCGTTATTCACGTTTTTCTTTCCGTTGACTAGCAATATCCTTACTTTTTCCATGAACGTTATTATCACCAGTCAGAGTTGGCCGGACAGGTTCATGGCTAGGAAATATTGGCCACTCCCCCTCAACCAAAAAGGTTTTGTGGCGGCGTTGTACATCTGTGTCATCGCTACTCAGTTCTGTTATTTAAATCTTACTTTTAATACTAATATTAATCATCATGATGCTGTGGTACTTCATTTTGGCTTTAGCCCTCTAAAATATTGTTAGTTATTGTTACCTTGGGTGCCGATATGTCACTTTTGATGGGTCTCCTGTTCTCTTTGCAAATCCGTAAGCATAGGCATCTCAGCCTCGTCGAAGCAATTGCCATGCACTACGAGAGACGGGGCGACTTGTGCAGGCTAGCGCATTGGAATGTGCAATTTCGCATGCTCAAATAGACCCCTTGATGTTCTAATTTCCTCCGGCCATTACCGGTGCACCGTTTTCCATATGCATGAGCTGTCTCCGGACTGGGTCTCAGCTTCCCCACGTGATCGCCCTATGCTCTCTTTCGTTTCGGTGATAAGTTGTCACTCAGCCGACAGATGATATGCAACTATGACCACCGGACACATACACAGATTAGTAATTAGATGCGAAGCTCGGCTCAACTCTTTCGAGATTATTGCTAGCCATTTCCTATCGTTAATTGAATCTCGTCATCTGGCATTGTTTCAGCTTTGTAACTCCCTCATCCTAACTGATTTCACTTGGCTTGTCGGTATGAGAAGTCAGACGATTGGGCCTTGTTTGTGTAGTCCTAATGCTAGTAATAATAATAATATTATTATTATTATTAATAACAGTAGTGTGTGCTCTCGATTCCACGAGACTCTTTTCCGTGTGATCCGGCTATAACAACTGCATTCCAACTCATCTACCACAGTTTGATGAGCAAAATATGTTTTTCGGGAATAATAAAACGACTTAAAGTTTCCTTGCATTCTTGCATCATGTTTAAATCACACTGTCAGAATTGATGTAACAGCGATCTGCTCATGGATGACATCCGCTGAAATAGATCAGCTGGTCTGTGAATGACCACTCAAGATGTCAGACGACAAGCGATTTCGCACAGAAAGACAAATATTTGCGAATGCCGAGCCTTCCCAAACTTTTTTGCGTCAGGATAAGACATAAAGAATAAATTTGGGATACAACGAACAGTAACTGTAATGGTATAACTACACTGCTTGTGGTGCCTAATTTAAGCGATACATTTGCTTACAATTTTGTGTACCCATAAGCCAGAGGTTAGGAACAGAGGCCTTGTGATCCGTGGGCCAAGTCATGGCCTTAAGGATCACAAGCCTGCCTTGTAATCCTGAGGTTGCGGGTTCTATCTTGCGTTGTGGACCCTCGTAGTATCATTAGCTCACGCGCGACTGGTGGTGGTTGCGCGGCAGCGAAGCGTCGTTACTGCGTACCGGCTTACTGCTGATGCCTTTTATGACCTGTGAAGCTTACTTAGTTTGTGTTTACATCCCACAGAGAGGCCTTATGGTAGACAGAATCGCGTGTATACAGTATATAACGAGTGAAGATGGGGACACCTACCGTTTCCGCTTGACAGCCCCCATATGGTCTTGGCCGAGTAAGGAGACAACACAGTATCTGCGTACGTTTACCCTTGCGTTAAACCACACGCCTCAGTACATCCATCTACTTGAACACATCATTGCATTGATGAAGTATGGTACTCTATTGGTACTTATCCATTTGTCGTTGACAGTGCTTATTTGGTTTCAATTAGCATGGGAGCAATCTTGCTCATTTATCTTTTTTCATCACCATGCTCCTTTTTGTCACTTGCACTTTTATCCATGCTTGTGCTGATTGTGGGCGACCTTTCATTCCAGTTCAACGGTGTTGAGAACGTGCTTTAAAACCCTCCTGACCATTTCGGATTCAGTTCACACCAGACCCAAAAACTTTATATATTGTCTAGGCTGCGGACAATATACTTCCTCGTTTTACCTCGCTTATTCTTCACATCGTCTATTCAAGTGCACATGACGGTGTAAAAATATGGAGAAGACTAAACTTTTTTTCGTACCTAGCGCTGACTTGAGCATTTGTTCTCCTTGGGCTTTACAAACATTTTGCATATTTTGCTGCCGAATTGAATCGACCCTGCCACATCACCTTTTGTCTTCTCAGTGTTGACCACTTGCTTAGGGGCTCGCATTTGTGAATCTCGTTGAGGTTTTTGACCTTAGGTTTGCCTTATTTTCCGCTGGTCTTCTATTCAGGTTTTGGGCAAATTGGGCCACTTTAATCGCACTAATTTAATCGAAGTTCAAAGATTACGTTTGGACCCATCGGAAGGCGAATCTGGTCCGCAAGTTCGCTTCTATCTGGCTGAGTATCCAAACCAACCCATAGACCTACCGATTCGCTCTTTAGTTGACGCCGCCATTGAATCTCTGCAGGTAACGCACGTGTGTTTTTCTTTTACGTTTCAGTCATATTTTAGCTCCATTCGCACGGAGCTTTTAACCTCCAACATGCTGTTCCGTTGAACCTGCTATCTATAGTTTTTTCCTGCTTTTTCATAAATTCTGTGTATTAAACCTATCTGTTCTTCAGTTTATGGGTGATTTTCTCCCGGATTCCATTTTGACACAAAATGTTTTACATCCTCATACCGCGTTCTTGAAGAAGCCTACACTCCTGTACATCCGTCATTTCTCCGCAAGCCGATGGATATGCAACCGTTTTGCCTCGTATTTTGCAACTTAGTAGTTTGCTTTCGGTGTATCTAACGCAGAGCCACTCAGGGCCACGTCTTGGGGCTATGCGCAAACAACTGTTGTTATGATTGCCCAGTCTTTTCGACAGTCCCAACATGGGAAACTGTTGATACTCATTTTCATCTAACTGCTTGATCGGCCTCTCTGACCTTTTCTTACATGTCGCACAGTGTACACCGCATCTACGGTATGTCCGATATATCTAGACTTATCCCCGCAATGCAACCATGACTAGTACTTGCGCCCATATCGGAAACACCGGCATCTGTAACGCTTGTCCGGCTATCCAACCGGCAATTTTTGTTGGACACAAAATGCTCGCATGCCCGCGCCTACATTTTGGGGGGGGGGGGGGGACACACAATCGCGTGCGAAGCCATGGATTTTGCTCTACCCTTTGCTGGCATGCCGATTGGATAGCCGGACAAGCGTTACAGATGCTGGTGTTTCCGATATGGGCGCAACTGCGTTGCTGAAAAGTACTAGTCATGGCTGAATTACGGGGATAGATCCAGATATATTTGACACACCGTAGAAACGCACTCATAAGACCGTGAAGCCCGGGAGACGTTCACATATCCGAGACTGCATACTAATAAACTTATTCCTCTCAGTTGACCATCAACATCGCTGACGCTGACCCTACAAGTTGGAACCAGATTTAAACTTGTCTTCTGTCTTACAATGACCGGCTTGTGTCAGATGTGTTCTCAGGGGTGATATATACAGCGTCAATCCGTCACCAGTACATACCGATAAGGCACGTCTTATGAACTCGAGGCTATATTATTATTATTATTATTATTATTATTATTACTGACGGTCATAAACGTTTCTGGCAACAGCGATAATGCACCCTGAGCCTGATTTTACCCGTTATTGCGCAAGGTACTCCGCTATCGCTTACTGACGCCACAAATTGCACAAAACTATAAGAATGGTTACAACGTAGTCGAACAATACTCATGAACTATTGGATTGATAGGAATAAATTACAAAACAGAGTTTCACTAGCTTTCTTGTTTGGGGGCAGTGTGAGCACATCATGCAGGTCTTTTACTTTGGTTCTGTTATTCCATTTCCATATGCACTCTGGTGGTCCTATCACCCAACAGGTTAATGCGCGCATCGACAAGGTTTGTACGGCGTTGTAAAGCTTTCACTAACCGTTGAAACCATCAGATCATAATTCGGCGGTTATTAATAGGGGTTTAATGATGCGGTGCGGTTAGTGCTCTCGAAATTATGGATGATGCAGTGTTCACCGCGCGTTTACGAGAATTATTCACTTAACGGAAGCGTTGCAAAAGTGCCAACTTCGCAGTCTTTGGTGCAGAATTTGACTATCCACTGATCACGCTGTCCGAGCCGTGTCTTTTGCAAACCTGTTAACTGCTAGGCTTCGTATGTCCTTTTGGCAATACCTCGCCTTCGTAGCTGGAGCTTCATTACCAAATCTGCAGGTTAGCTGATATCTGTTGTATTCCGGCATGGGGCCACATGTTTGGTCTACCTTCACATTTAGCATGACGCGAAGACGAAGGCACTGACGCCCTTATTTCTGGTTATCACTGTTAGATCTTTCCTTTTCTATGTGCCTCCGGTAGAAACGACCATGTTCCCCGCACATTCGCAATTTCAGCCAAAAGCCCGAATACAGGCCTGACGCAAACTTGTGTTGCAAAGGCTGCTACCGAAACGGTACAAATTGTCTGAAAATGTCAAAATGACAAGAGGAAAAAGCATTTTATCGGAATATGCTGCATTCAAATCTTTCGAGTATCCTCATCAGCTGTTTACATACATTCTGTGAGATTATCGCGTTGCACACGAAAGGCAGAAATGGGCAAGAACATTCAGTTTGAAGGAAGATGATCAATAACCTCCTTTCAGTTCGGCCAACGTACTTTCTCCCACAAGTATAGTGGCATTGGTAAACATAAAGGTAGTAACACTAGAATGTGGCTTGTCCAGGTTAGATTTACACAGCAACTTGGCGCAATAACACCAATTCGGCTGCGTACTAGCACTTTTTTACGGTCTTGGTGGACGCAGTCCAGGAATTTTCTATCATTTTGATCCCCCTCGAATGGTAGCATGATGGGCACTTTTTTGGGGACATCTGTCAAAAACTTCCCACTGTTTTCTACGCTTGTAGACCGAGCTATGAATCTCACTGGGTGTCCATTTTTCCCTGAGCTTTGTTGCTGGTGATTTCAAACGCCAATGGAATTGGGAATTGCAATCTCTTAAATAGAATTATAATCCTAGGAATGCGAGGAACGAGGACATCTTCACCTTTGTATGGCTATGTGGAGGTTGTTGCTTCTATCAGGTTGTTTAGTAATATTTTTACTGCAAGCTGCATGCCGTTGCAAAGCTTCGGCTAGTTGATCTTCTGCAACATTGTACTTACAGTACACTTGCGGTGGCATCTCTTGCAGATGGAGTGAATTCAAAATTCTACCATTAACCGCTTCATATGCTCCCATAGCAGTGCGGACGGACTTGTCTGTGACTGTCTCGCTTGGAATGTTAGGCTGAATAATATTGTTAACTTCGTCCACGTCTTTCCTTCTTGGTTGCATGAATAACTCGTTCACTTAACAAATCCTGACGCCTATAATTGGTTTGAATATTGGGAAATACATTTCCAACCAATTCTTCTTTTGTGACGTCACTAAATTGCAGGAGCTATGAGGAAATGAAATTCTGAGATCAGATCATTGAGCACTTTTTCCGTTCCGCGTATCCAGTAAATGCAATGAGAATACCTTAGCTGATTGCTCGCGTTGCAGCTGAACACACATATTGGTAGTTAATTTTAACCTCTTCGTGTAGCCACAAACTAGATTATTTCGGGCAAGCATTTATCTCTTCCGCTGGTGTCGATCGAAGAATAACAGGTAATGTTTGCCTGAAATCTCCTGCAGGCAAAAATAACACGTTCCAAAATGCTTTAGTGTTTCCACTCAAATTTTGTACTGATCGATTAAGTGCCTCTAGAAACTTTTTTGTGCGCCATTGTGAATTCATCTCAAAGTTTGCATTTCTGCAATACTTTTCCCATGGCGGAAGATTCTGAAATGTTGCACGTGGGAGTTTCAATGAATGGCTTGTTCAATGACAATTTCATAGCGGAATAAGCAGTTCTTCCACCTGGTAGCAGCGTCGTAGCTATTCCAGACGACGTGGGATCGTATTGCACTGAAATATAAGGAAAGAAACTTAAAAACGAATTGGAAGATGGAAATAATACTCACGAACTGAAGGCTATGCTAGACGACACGGATGAAATCCAACGCAATGTCACCCGTAATGGTTGACCGTTGTAACTTAACTGTCATGACCTAACTAAAAATAGCAAATCTATCTACTCATAAGTAGTGCAAGATGAAATGGGTACCTGTGAAAATTTAATGCTACATTGAAATGGAATCGTAAAATTTACATCTACACAATAGTGGATATGTAAAAAAAATTCGCGTATTCTAATGCAACATTGTGTTAAAATTGCAATGCAACCGATTTTGAGCAAATGAACACTTGTAGGGCGTACTTTCCTTGCGCAGTCAGACCCAAAGAGCACATCGATCTATCGGATCGATCACCCGTTTGATATCGAGGAACACGACTACGGTGGGTCACCACTGGATGTGGCGGTTTTCCAACATTTTGTGTAATGTGAAAATAAGGTCGATTTAAAGTCGCTTTCGGCGAATTCGGCTTGCCGCTCGTGAATCTAGCTTTTGCGAGTGCCAGTCAGCCTGTGAAGCACGACCTAGACGAGCAACTTAAAGACAGTTGAGGTCTGTGTGAAGAGTAGCTGTTGTCCGCCCGAAAACGCTACAATTCACGGCCGTTTTCTTAATCCGTTGTATTCACTAGGTACATAGAGCAGGTGTGCGACTCGCGTTTGAGAGTTTTAAGCTGTCTGTCACTGACTTGCGGTGGGCACTGCTTGTCACAATGATTATTGGCTGCTTGGAGGGGTTGTTTTGAATCACTCGCTGTCCGACACGCAATCTCGATGAGAGCCGTGATTCATGTTGAAGTGAAGTTCAACCAGTTTGATCACTAAGACCGCCGCTGAAGCAGTTGTATTCTGGGTGTTAGCTACGCGCAACACTGCACTCCACGAATGCTTTCGTGTTGGTTTGCATGTAGAGATTACAGGACTCGAACCCGGGGCATCGGGATGTCAGTCTAAGCCTCTACCGACGCGCTGGCCGTTTTCTTAGTCACCCAACGGTATTTGCTTTATGTCTGATGCCCGATGACAAGTGCACTAACGACTTCACGCCAACCGGGAATTCCGCATGTGTTTTTTTCTTCGGCGCTTTGAAGTCACCTTGATCAGTAGCTGATATTGTATTCGCGCATGTGGATAGCGCTCCTTGGTCTTCATTTTGAACAAATTTTCAATCGTTTACTATATTTTACACCTGATTCTTTTGTTTTGGATTTCAATGCTCGAGTCATGTACACCCGTGAGCTGATGACCATCTGCGGTCTCAGATTCTTGCCTACCAACACCTCAGCAGAACACGCATCAACACACAATCATGTCTTCATCGTTATTTTTTTCGATACTCCAGTCCCCCGGTGTCGACCTCCCAACCAATACTTTCATTTGGGATCTCCTGCAAAGCTTGTGCATCGCATCGTTAGATCTTCCTCACAAGACGGCCAAATCCGGGCACAATGATGACGCACCGTATGCATATTTTCAAACCCGTTCTTTTCTCCTCTCCGTGAAACACTACATTGAAACGGTTACTAGTGGGCGCCACACTCCTCGGCTTGATCGACTGCTATTTCAATCTCCGTGCTGTTTGGATGGTGGTAAGCCGTCTCCCTAATTTACACATTCCGTTCGCGTTATTCTGCCTTCTCACTGCTGCTTTGCCTTTCAATCTCTTCTGTCATCCCCTCCATCCCTTTATGCGTGGTCTATCGTTTCCATCGTCTGTTTGTTATGTCTAAATTATTTTGTATTATTTGTTTGCTTCGCTGTCAATCTTCTCTACACTCTATGTCCTGACTGTATCCACACACCGGTGATTGTTGTGGCGGCTGGAGGAAAATTATCTATCGCTTTCGACACATTGGTGGCCGCTGCATACAATCGCTTTCAAACCCCCCAAGCTCATGTCTTCCCTGGTAATTCATTCTACTCGTAAACCCTGACCGCACTACAGGGTGGCCGAAAAGTTGCCGGGCACTCCAACTTTATGCATATACCTACATAAAACAGTGTATAAATGTAAAAAAAATTGTATGTGATACTTGTCAAGAAAAAGAAGGGCTCTTCGCTGATCAATGAAATTTATTGAAATAAACATGTGCTAGCCTATGATCACACTGTCATGGATCCAATATGTCTGTGTGTTCACCGTCATTCTCATCACATAGACGAATGCGTCTCCAAGTGCATGCTGGGATGCGTTGCAGAACATCCAGGGGAAATGGACTTCAATGAAGCACGGATTGTAGGTTTAAGTTTTTCTGTGTTGTTGTAACGTGTTTTTCTGATATCTTCTTTCATCATGCCCCACAAGGCATTGTTGCATGATGACAGGTAAGGACTGCGAGCTGAACCTTGATGCTGTGATCCCCACGTCCAATCCACCGGCCAGGGAAATTCTCATCCAGGAACCGGCGCACCAATATAGCATAATGTGCAGGAGCAGCATCTTGCTACAGAATGGCTACATTCCTGACTCAAGTTGAAACTAATTGTAGAACGAACTAGGTCCCCAGGTGAAGTGATTCACTGAGTTTCCGAAAAAAATGGCCCAATGATTTTGCTAGCTGACATTGTCGGCCGCATCATGACGTGCGGTGGGTTGTGAGCGATTTCTTAAGCATTGTATTGGTTAAACTTGCTCCAAATGGAAACCTTTCGTGATCCTGAGCTGGGATAGAGAGCACATTCATCACTAAAGGGGACATTGTGACGATTGATTTTTCTGGGGAATTAGTGAAGAAAGTTGCGATACGCCTCCATTCGATTCCGTCGATCAATATCAGACAGTTCATTGATCTGCATTGGCCTTAAAGCTGACATGCCTAGGTTAATTTTGAGTACTTTTTGGAGTGTGGAGAGTGGGATATATAATTTAGCAGACCTCTTACGAGTTGATTTCCTTGGAGGATTGAAAACTGACTGCCTAATGATTTCCACGTGTTACATTCGGGAGGCAGGACGTCCAGATCGGGTGGCATCCAGCACAGATACAGATGCAAATGTTTTCTTTTCCCATGGCATTAATGTGTCCTTTTTGTGTCCTTTTTTGGCCTCTTGAAACACTTCTGGAATTTGGTGGAAATGTCAGTTATTGTTCTTTTTTCTAGCACTCGATTATGTACACAGACAGCAGCTATGAGCCTTTTTTCAATGAGGTAGGGACTTGTATCGGTCATTTTTCGTATATATACCTGAAAATAGAAAGATAGAAGTATCGTACATGTATGCTATAAATGTTATGATAAATGTGCAACTATTAACCGCTAAATAGTATTGTAAAAACGTCAGTTATGAACAATGACCAGGGATTTCGTGGCCACCCAGTACTTCTTTGACTCGTTCAACCAGCTACTCCGTTATTAGCCTGCGGCATTCATTTTCCTCTTACGCTAAGTATGATTGCCAATCACAGAGCTCGTTGATACTCTTTCGGGATGCACAGCCCTGAGTTAGCATTTACCCACCATAACCCTTTTCAATTCATTATCTTGTGAAAATATATCCCCTCCGGTTAACAAGCGTGAAGGATTTTCTTGCCTTGCGCCTGGTGCAGTCTAGGTGCATCGCCTTAGTAGCTCACGGCCCCATTTAGCCTTGAGCATTAAAGTGATCAGCAGGCGACGCTACACTTTGTGATCTCTGACTCGTCGTTTTCTGTTCGAACACACGCGGTGCATTAGCGTAGTAACGCAAGCTTGGTTTTCGCCGTCATCTGGCATGTTGCCCCTGATATGAGGAACGAAGTCTCCAAAAAACCGCCTAAACCAGAACCACGTAAGGCATAGCCGCTCACACTGATATGCAGATAGCCTCTGTATATACAAGAATTCACTTTTTTCTGACCAGCCTCCGTAATCGTAAAAATGTACTTTTCCGATACGTTCAGCTTACTGAACTTAGCACACTGGCATTACGCCCGTTCACTTGCTTTCTCCTCGCTCTCTTATTTTGGCTTACACAGCCTGTCCTATATGTAAAATCGGTATCTAAGTGAGGCTGAGCACCGCTGTATTCGCCTCTCATTGGGATAGTAAAAGCGCCTGCTACGGGCGATTGTTGTTCTTTCTTTGTCTCTCTCTCTCTCTCTCTCTCTCTCTCTCTGGGTCTTGTGGATACATTTGGCGACCAGGTTTCACGGGTCGTACGAATCCGCAGTCTCTCGGCTCCTTTTCTTTGCATGTATACAATCCGCAAGCCTTTCGCTCGTCCTGACCAGGAAAGTTGTTACAACCAGGCAGTTGTAACGGTCCTCGATACTAGTGAAGGCAGGGCACAACTGGGAAGTCAATCACACAGTTAGACTCTGGGTTTTCTTACTCAGCTCTTCCATCACGCCATCGTGACTGCTCGTTTTCATCTATCTTCCGTATGCCCTCACACATTAGATGTTTATTATACTGTAGTCAGCGTCGTAGCAACTGGGTTCGCCACACTCGGATCATGTTCATGCTAATTTTCCCCTGTCCGTTTGCCCTGTTCATCGCCGTACGACCACTTTTTCACAACTAACCTGTTTTCTTGTCTGTCGTATCGTCAATTCAGATGTCAACAAAGACGTGATGATTCGAGTGTTGGCTGGAATCTTTCTGGCTGGGTTGCACAAGTCCCTGCGAGAAAAGCACGGTGACTTTATCACCTACGTGGTCCGTCATCTAACATTGGTTTCGCTAAGCACACACATGACCACCTTTGAGTGTGCACACTCCTCCAAATTCACGATTGATCCGTCACCATTCGGACGTTGGAACGTGGATGAAATTGGTTTCAGTGGCCACATGAATCCATCATGCGTTGTGATGGAAATGGTGGATAAGGCAGCTACCAAGGTGGCTGCTCAACAGGCTGGTGTTTCAAGCACATCACACGTCAGTGTAAGTTGTCCTCCGGTTTGTAGACGCAAATTTCTCTTCTGCAAAATCCCTCTTGAAGCATTTCCGCTATTTTTATTTTAGTAGATAAAAATGGTTTATTCTCGACCGTGCGAGGCACGCCTGCATAGGCATGATTATGTTAATATAAACAAGAATGTTGGATAATTTTACAAAAATGTTGCGAAATTACCAGTAACATACTGGATCTATGTGCGTGTTTGTATCTGGATGTATGTGTCTGCGACGGCTTCTGTGCATCGGTTGGTGCCACAGAGTTGCAGACACGGAGATGTTGCGCCGAACTGGAATGTATTCAGTGAACTACATCCTTTTCATGAGACAGTTGTGGTGGCTCTGTCATGTGTGCCGTATGGATTCCGGGGGGGATACTGAAGCAGGTGTTATATGCTCAGCTGAGTATGGGGAAGTGCCATTTAGAGCAACCGAAGCTTCGTTACCAGGACATGATCAAGCTGAGTCTATCACGGTCTAATGTTTATTTCAAGTGTTGGAAATCGAAGGGGATTGATCGGCGTGCATGGCGCCATCTGATCACGAAGCTAGTTGCTGAGGTGCAGAAGAAAACCCTCATGCATTCGGAGACGGAGCGGCAAGCGCATTGTGTTGTGACACAAGCGGTCGCAAGTGTCTGAGTCAGTGAGGGGTCTAGTGAGTCACGAGCGAGGCCACTCGGGACTAGTATCTAACCGACAACAGGTGCTGCTGAGACTGTAAGCAGAACCGACACAGCGTTGGTAGCTACGCTGTATGCGCTTCCATTCGATTTAATAACATCGTGCAAAGCCTCTTTATTACCGTTTGCTATCTACCGGTTTGCTATCTTGTCTTAATCCTTTATTTTACCTCATTTTAATGTCCACCTGAACAAGCACATCTTAACTTACATCGCTTAAGCTAGTTGTGGTTAACCTCGTTAACTTTTTCGCGTTTGTTGCATAGTATAAAATATCTTTTTTGACATGTACTTATCGGGGATTTGTTCATAACCAGTTTATTTCGTATGCTCATTTAGCGGATCTTGTCTCTGACTACGGGAGTGTTGGGCCCCTGGCATGGCTTATCGTCATCCGAAAGGCGTATGAACTGAGTGTCCAGTCACCGGCTCCCAACGGGTGCGAACCCCTCATATCGCCCTGCTGCCTTGTAGGTTAGATCCTTGATCAAAGGCTCGGGGCGGTGGTCCCATAAGACAACATACCTACCTCGGCCTAGGCAACCGGGTAGTATTTCGCCTACTGGAGAACCATGGACTTACAACTACAGCCATTCACACGCTCTCTTGCTGCTACGATGCTATTCACTCATGCTACTATACCAACTTCACAAGCACACGCCACCATTTTACCTATCCTTCCCTTTTACCATTCACACCCATTTTTACCTGATTCCTCTATGGCGATCAACCCCACCTACACCGATAAAACTGTTCCTGTGACACCTGCCAACTCAACCACAGGGCTCAACAGAGAGCTGCCAGTCCCAAAGTCTCCCATCTTCACTCTTGCAACCCGGAACCCAGTTCAAACTTGAAGCCTTCAACGTACGCACATTACTGCAGATCGGTCAGCAAGCTGGACCTGCACGCACGCACGCTATATGAACGCCAACTCGGGGGACTGCATGGATATACTGATGTTCGCTCAGACGACAGAGAGAGACAGTTGTTTGTGTGCTGATTATCAGCTTTTCCTCTCCAGTACGAGCTTTCGTCATCCTGGACGCTATTACGCCACTTGGCGACCCCATCATCAACGCAGCACTGGTCACAGATTGACCACATAGCCTTAAATCGCAGGTGGCGCGGCAGCGTCCGCGACTTCCGATCATTTTGGTCAACATGCGCTGATCATGCATCGGTATGTGGACCGTTTGCATGCCTTTCGGTGATTCACCTAGATCCATAGACACCCGACTGAACATCTACAAGTTGGAGGACCCGATGGTGAAGAAGGAGTATCAACAAAGGCTTCGTGAAAATCTCGCTCTCCCTTCCCCTCTGGATGTTGATCAACACTGGTCAAGTCTGCAACAAACATTGTTGTCGACCGGTTTGTCCAGATGTGGCTTCAGTCGTTCCCCTCCCGAAAGCTGGATCTCAGGAAGATCCTTGAAATTGCTGGCTCGCCGACGGGCGGTGTCTGCTGGCGCAGAGTACAACGAACACCGCCGGTCTATTACACAACATATGAATGCAAGCCTTCGCTCTGATCATGAATCTTGGTGGTCAAAACAAGCTGATGAGGTGGAAGCCACTGCATCAGCTATCAACTCCCGCCGTCTATTTTGCATCATCAGGGCCATCGGTTGCAATTCCCATGCTATCAGCCAGACGATTTGCGAATCAGACGGCACGAAGATCACTAACCTTCACAGGTGATTGGGTCGCTGGGCAGAACATTTCGCTCTTCAATCCAACCACCCAACGCAGCCCTCTGTGACACCTCCAGCCCCAATGGATGATGCTTAGCCTGTCTCCACAGCCCCTCCAAATGAAGCGGAGATCCGAAATGCAATCCAATCTTTGAAACGCCACGAGGCTCCGGGTCCCGACAGCCTACCACCGCCTCTATTCAAGGATGTTGGGAGTGTAATTGTCAGCAAAATCCCATCACTGTTCACAAAAGTTTGGACTGGAGAGAAGGTTCCGAAATCATGGGGAGAATCTGTCATTGTTCCGACTCACAAGAAAGGCTCTCGCGACGAATACTGTAACTACCGCGAAATCTCCTTACTCTTTGTCGCATCCAAAATCTCCCTGTTGGTCCCACTTCGCAGGCTTTCACCGACTAGAGAGGAGTTCTTCGGAGAAGAACAAGCCGGATTTCATCCAGGCTGCGACTGCATCGACCAAATCTTCACGCTCCATCAACTTCTTCAACTCACATCCACCGGCGGCCAAGCATCTTGTGTTCTTGGACATCCGAGCGGCATTTGTTTCAGTAGATGGCTCTGCGTTGTGAAACTGTTTACTGAAGAAAGGTGTGCCGACAAGTTTGGAACCAACTTGAAAGAGCTTTACAGTCACACACCGGGCAAACTCAGGGCTTACGGCACGCTCTCTTCGCCGTTTGCTATGACCAGCGGTGTTCGCCAAGGTTGCGCTATTTCACCTTTCTTCTTCTATTTTGCCGTCAAAGATGTCGTCCAAAGAGCACTGGAAGGTGTCCATAACTACGGTATTGAGCTCCTTCCTGGTGACAGAGTCACGGACTTGGACTACGCCGATGATATCGCCTTGCTGGGGAACGACCCACAAACCGTCCAGTGCGCTTTTGACCGCTTAGCGATGGAGCTACGACTTATGCTTCACTCTGGGAAAATGTAAAACGCTTCTCCAGGACTGGCAAGTGCCCGAACCCGCGCTTGCCATTGCTGGACTTGTTCTGGAGCAAGTCCCTTGCTTCACTTATCTAGGGAATCGCATCACGGCTGGTAGCGGTGTTGGAGATGGAGTCTCACAACGGATTGCAAAGGCGCGCCTTGCGTTCATTAAACTAAGACACCTATGGCCTCCTCGTGATGTCATTCTCAAGCTCAAGGGCAAAGTGTACAATGCTTCTGTCCGTGCAGTACTCTTGTACGGCTGTGAGACGGCCTAATCGGTCAGAAAACATGAAGCGGCTGTCAGTCTTCCACACTCGCTGTCTACGAAGGACGGCTCGGGTCTGGTGGCAACACCACGTAAGGAACGCAGAGGTGCGAGACCGCGTGCTTGGGGCGAATGGTGCCAGTCTTCAGGAGATTATTCTACGACCGCATGTGTTTGCTCGGGCACGTTCTGCGCATGCCAGCCCATCGCCTTCCACGTCGAGCGCTATTTGCACTCCCATGGAGCGGCTGGAAATAGTGCCGCGGTGGACAGCCAATGACGTGGACAAGGAGCATGAAGAAGGCAACCTTAACTTTTACGGCAGTCGGACCAGTCCGTCTTTCAGATTGGGGACCACGGGATGCTGACTCGCAGTGGTTGGAAACACTGAATGTCATGGCCCGTTATAGACATCAGTGGCGTCTATGTTGTTCTGCAATTTTATCCCCCTTTAATGCACACGAAATCTCACCAAACAAAAAATTCAAGATTGCGTTTGTAAAGCCAAAAAATCGTTTTCCCTTTTTATCGCATTTTGTGTTTTATTTTTTGTTATTTCTCTCTTCTGTCATGGTTCTGATGGCACAACGTCTGTTAACAGACTGTATATATATATATATATATATATATATATATATATATGTGTGTGTGTGTGTGTGTGTGTAGCGAAGAGTTATGTCGGCATATCTGTATGGTTTATTCGATTTATTTTATTTGGTATTGCCATTTCAAGTGATTGTCTGTTGCTTGACATCACTGGTGTGGCTGCGCTTGATGTGCATGTTGACAATGTGCCTACCTGTCTATTACCCCCTACCTCGTCTATACTGACTCCAGGAGACAGTTGGTCGTCACTGAAAGGGATGAGATGCACGGTCCTTGTGGTCGTGCTAAGCTCGAAGTGTGGTTCCATGCACTCAGTGTGGAGCGGACCACGTTCCAACCACCGCCTTGTGTGCACTTGACTCCCCAAATACAGCGTGCATGTGTTTGCCTGTGAAGCAGCGTGGGCCGGCTCCGTTGATGAGACGTGGGTCCCATATGCATACCTCCCGGTCTTATTCCTTCGGGCTTACACTGGATATGGGGTGTGTGGATGGAGCTGTGGGTGGTGCAGCGCAACCCACCCATGCTATCTCTGTAGGCACAGGCATCCTGTGGCTGTCCCTGTGGAGGCCGCAGTGACAGGCAACTAGGTATGAATTTACGTAGCTGTGTTGCTTGAATGTGTTAATGTGACGCTGCGTTTGTGATTGTGTTCAGTCAGGTCGTCGGCGTGAGAAGGGTTCAAAGGAACTCTTCTGCTTGAAGGACTGACGTCATATAGTTGAGAAAGTTATCTGGCTAAACGAACGGCAGTAACTTTATTTAATGGCGAGTCACATCCGCCATGTCTCAGTGTTGTTAAACTGACTTGTGTGGCTTTGTATAAAGAGAACGCTTGCTAGGCGGTAACCCATTACGTCCTGAAACACTCCCCCCCAATCATTCGCCAGAACGGGATGAACCCGATCCTCCTAGCTGGCACCAATGGGAGGTTGGTCGGCGAGCTAGCCGGTTGTGGGTTGAACGAACTTGTCAGTATACCCATTTGACACTAAGTTCCTCTGCAGAAACTTCTGCTTTTAACATTTCTGCTGTTAAGGGTAGAGATAAAGAGTGCTATTTTAGCCGTTCAAGGGGTCCATAGTGCAAATAACACTGGACGCATTCCCCGAGCTGACTTTAAACACACCCACACGACCGCACAGTTGCGAATTTTGCTCACTCCACGAAATACTGCTCTTCATAACAGTCAAAGCAGCTCATCGGATGCTTTTTTGTCTCTCAGGTTTTTTTGAAAGTTCATCTGCAGTTGCTGTGACATTTACATGGGTAAAACTGACCGCCAGTTAGCTCAGAGGATAGCTGAAAATTTGCCAGTGTTTCGGACAAGTAGTGACGAAGAAACACGGAGCGAACCTGAGAATGAATTGGAGCTCGTCATCAACTCTTAGCGACTGCCTCATGATAAATCATCATCATGTGAACCGGGAGACCGCATGCAAGGTGTTATTACGCAATAAAAACGCGATAATGTTGGTAATTCTTTAGTGTCCAGCTAGTCCTCCAACAATCAAAATAAAGACTGAGCAGCGATCTAGAAATCTACTATTAATGAACAAAGGGTCACGCGTCGGTTTTGCTTGCGTAACCTGTCAGGTATCTTAACAGTAAAACGTTGTTAACTGGGGCCTACCAGTCTGTGTTATGTGCACGGAACCTCTTGTGGGAATCAGTTAGGTTGCCCTGGTTTTGCTTCTTTTCTTTTGTTCGGTGTTGCCGGTTGTTCCCCATATGTAACCGTATTTATCTTCTACTTGTATCAGTTCGGTTCAGTTGATCAACTATGATCCGATCACCGAGGTGCGGTGGATTCAATTGCCACAACTCACACCGCAAGAACAACAATAAATAACACCGGTAGTCTAATGAGGTTGGGAGCAAAATGGAATGTAGCGCAAATGAAAGCAACTAGAAAGTGCGTTAAACTGCTCAGAATGGAACGAAAGTTAACAACCAGATGAAAGAGGCCGAATACAGGAACGCCAAGGACTGCGTGACTGCGCCATGTGCGATACGGTCTCCAATCATGAGGCCCACCCTTCATCGGTAGGCAGTGCCACGAGCTAGCGTGGTCTAACAGAGTCGAAGGCTGCTTTCAATTCTAGCAAAATCACTATAGTCGGTCGTCTGTATTTGTGTCTCTGCTTTGAAACTTAGTGAAGAGTAAATATGTGGTCCATGCAACCACGGCCAGGGCGAAAGCCAGCCTGCCTTTCAGTGGTTCGGTCCTCACGGGGACAAGCAAGTCGTCTAAGAATGATACCCGTGAGAAGTTTTGGGGCAATGGAAATAAGGTTCGGTGTCTGCGTGTATAGTGTCTGTGGCTGATGAAAAGAGTCGAACTGTTGAGATGTCGCTATGACAAATAAGTGAAGTGGACTCTATGACATCCACGTTTCTATTACTGCTACATACTTTCTTTTGGCTGTCCACATTCGCAATCGTGTGCCCGTCAACCGCTCGATGCATTTCTTTAATTACTGGTTAGCACTTTTTTGCATTTCGTCCACGTGGCTGACGTCTTTTACCTTGCACTGTTTGGTTACGAGCCATTACTTCGTTTACACTGCTTGCGGTTTTTCAACCTAGTTTGACTGTAACAGAATCACTGTCTCACGTATCTAGTTTTGCCAGAGGTCTACTTCTGCTGCTTTCCGCCTGTCTGTCTCATGTTCCCCGATGCAAATGCATCCGCCAGCATTGTGTTTTACGCTTTCTACCTGGCTGGGTTCTTACGAAGCGAGACTGGTCTCCCATTGAGCCGGAGAGACGGAAACTGATGTCAACCGCATTCATACGGTTCCTCTCTTTCTACTCTTATCTGCTACAGCGTCTCCTATAGGCATTTGGCCAATCCATTTGGCATCTTGTTTTGCTTTATCTGCACATCCGTCTTTGTTATTACGGAGGGGGTGGGGCTGTGTTACTTAACTATGCCATACGGGCTCCTGAATATGATTGTCTAGCACAATTTGCGGTTTGAATGCTCATCACGGATCCCGTTTCACTGTCTTCTCAGTCTCCGATCCTCGTACCGGAATCCGGGTGCTTTTGAGTGCACTGGTGATATTCTATTCATCCACATTTTGTGTGTAGATGTCACTTATTCCAACTTGAATGCCCATAGTCTCGCTGAGCGTCAAGGTAGCTTTATTCAATTTCCTCCCTATCCGTCTTTATAAACTTAGACTTTTTCTACTGTTACGTCCTTTAGGATAAAGCCCCCTCATTCTGTCGTTCTTTTACTCCTTGAGGGCATGCATTTTCTAACTGTCCGTAATCTACTTTTGCGTTGTGTACTGCGTTGCTCTTTGTCCCGAGCTCACAGATTTTGCCGATGTCTATCTGCATTATCACTTTTTCTATAAACTCCAGCTGGGTTTTGCTAACTCTGTTGCCCCTTTTCCCAACTGACTGGTTTTCTTGCCTAGCACCAACCAAATCGGGAGTCATGTTTCGATTTTAGTAAACGAACTTCCACTTCCGAGTCTACGATTCAATACATCTACCGCTAATCTGTTATTATCTTGCACTTTACCATCTGTTCCCTTTTGCGTCGCTTTTTCATCGAAGCACGCGACACACCTGTTCACTTTCTGCTTCTGTTTATCGCTTCACCGTCATGCTTTCCATTGGGCCACGTGGACACCGTGCAGAACAATAACTTACAGCCTACTGTTTTACTTACCTACACTGTGATTCCGAAAGAGTCATACACCACACTACTTTGTGCTGATATTTCGCTGCCGTACACAGTTGCCAATTAAGCGAACGAATAACCCGGCAACATCAGAGCGGAATTGCATTGATTTCGAGGCCTATTACGCAAAAATTCATGGGCAACTCACCCACATCTGACCACGTGATTAGGTTAACCAACATTCATGTAGAAGTTGATCAGCTTCCACCAAACGGCTTATGGCTTTCTTCACGCTGACATTTTTCTATCTACTACCCCTCCCAGTGTTGATGGTGGATATGCCACTGATCCACTGGCTTAAGTCCGAAACAGAGATTATGCTTTCGATTGATTTCTCCTCTGGTATATCCACTGCAGTGTGCCTGAATTAAATTTTGACAGTTTTGATTACTTGTTCCGTGACTTTAGCTACTGATGTGTTTTCCACTTCTCTCCACACTTTCATCACATCCAGTTACTCTTTGGAATCTACTCCTTCTCAGCAATTTACAGAAGCATTTGTTTTACCTCAAAAAACTACCCTCAGATCACAGCACTTTACCCCACACCCTTCTACTCACGCACGGTCTCCTTCTTTCTCCAGACTCCTTCTCCAGATTCCAACTCCCACCCTTCGCTTTTCTCACCTCATTTACTCGGCCAGAACAGACTTGATCCAACTTTGCTGATCGATGCCATCTTGTTTGCGATGGGACACGAGGACAAACAGCTCACACAACCGATGACCATACTCCTGCAAGTCATTCATGCCACTTTGTTGTCTGTGTTCCGTGCTGCCTCTGACATCATTGTGGATGGCGGATCGGACGATGCGAATCATGTGGCCGAGCGAAACCATAAAGCAATCGCGCATTTGCCTCTGTTCACACATTTGGCCCACGTGTGTGTGGATATGTTGCATCACCCTGCCTGGTAGGTTTGGTAAACCACATTTCTCGACAACTTGTTTTGAAGCCGAACCAATACTGATGTTCATTACTTTCACTTCGCTTCACTTTAATATCCTCTGCACTCTCTTCCAAAGCCGATAACACGGTCGGTCGTATTACTTCATTGGAACAGTTGGATTTATCTGTGTTTATTATTAATATTATTATTATTACCAACCTTTTTTGTAAGATTCAGTCAATCAATTAGCCCCACCCAAAATAGCTTTAAAATTACTCTGAAAAACTCGAAAAAATCATCTTCCATGTGATTCCGCCGTTCCTCATGGTCAGATCACTCCGCTGGACTATATTTCGAACAACTGCGAAATTTACCGTTTATTTATTTTTCTGTTATCTTTCTTGCACATTAGCAGTTTCCTCGGTGAAGTTTTGCGTATTATCGTGTCTAGCCCATTCGGGTGAATACGATGTTCGTTTAAATCACAGCTTATCTTAGTAACCTACCTTTGCCAAGTTGTCTATGCTCGGCGATTGTCTATTGTTTTACTTTTTTTATCCTGCTGAGAGTGATTAACTGCTATCATTTTACCCTCTGATCGCTTGATGGTGATCGGCCTACTTTCCCAGGGGGAGTTCACTCAGGTCGTTTGCTGTAGGCGTTATCGCCCAATAGCTTTTCCGTTAGCGACTTTCCGCCAACCTCTTTATCGATCACGACCACTTGGTTACCTAGTGATCACAGCTTCCCATTCTTTCTGTTTGCACATGTTTTCCCCAATAATCTTCGAAATAACCACATCATCATTGTTCCTTACTGATTCCGTTTCCGCTTTCTCCCCTAGGTATGTAAAGTGGAGTGGTTGCGCCACTATCATGTGCATCGCACAATTTTTGCATCCTTGCTGGTTTGCGCTGCATATGGTTCCTCTGTTGCGTGGTCTTTTGCACGCAATCCACGATTTATCCGACCAAATGAGTCAGGGAGCTTTGAACATGGCTCGCGATTGTACTCGCCTACTTCTTCGAACTGTCTTCACTCCTTCGATGATGAATGACCTAGTGCAGCCACAACATCCGACGTCCTCCGCGCATGACGATGTTGCCGACCGAACCGCTTCAGGAAAACGAGCGATTTCTACCAGTCTTCGTCGGTCGCAACAGCCCCACGGTACCGGTGTACGACGACAGACAAGTTCTCTTCGTCGAGGTCGAAGTGCTTCAACGTCTATTTCTGGCACCACCTCCGAATCTTCTACTGAGTCAGCGAGACGGGAGCACACCGCAGCAGACAATACGCCGTCATCGTCTCAGGTATGTAAAATGTCTTAGTAACAACACAATACACGTGTTTTTTTAGAACGCTTTACCTTGTATCCTTTTCTACTTGTATTTACCCGTATGCTTTTTTTCTTAACCGCAGCCTCTAGTGGAAACGGTCGTCGTTGAACTCATGACTGCTCTCCTCAGTGAAACGTCTGTGGTCCGCGAGGAGGCTCGCTGTCTCCTCCGTCTTGTTTCCCATCTCGCAGATCAATCTCTATCCACATTGCTGACCCCACATTGGCAGTCACAACTGGGGCACATTCTCCCACCACATGCACCTTCGCGGTTGCTAGATTTTCCTTTGTCAACTCAGCTCGTTATTCTTGTAAGTTGCCTACTCCACCGAAATGGTTTTCCCCACCGCTTTTGCCGCCCTTCCTGATTAGTTTATACGCCGACTAGGTGTACAAATGAATTTGACTATTTTATCCATTAAGCTTCCCCTAAGTACCTACCTTTAGTTCTTGTCTGTCATGAAACTGCCCATGAAACGGGCCCATCTTCCAAGGTCTGCTCCCTCACAAACTGAACATTGATTTGGCAGTTTCTTTGAACATTCAAACGTAACTGGACAGCGTAGTTCATTTAGGATCCAGTTACCGAAGTGTGATGGATCCGTTTACACCAACTCGAGTCACGTTAGAAGTGGAGCCGGCTATTTGAATCAGTATTACGACATTGACGTTTTGTATGCATGTTTCGGGGCGTATCACACATCAGCACCAGATGATGGGCATTCCACGTATCAGAGACACAATCATCGTCATGGATGGATCTGTTTGTTGTCCATCTCAATGTGGCTGGGGATATCACTGGCTGGCTCTTGCTCTTTGTCCTGCGCACATGTGGATTACAAAGCTACTGATGTATGAGGCGTTAAGGACACTGCAGATGTAGCTTCATGGGCGAATAGCACTCTCATGGGCACCAATTACGGTAGTGAGGAGTTTCGTTCAGCGGTTTCCACCGTTTAACTCTCTCACAATCCATTTTGACTTACTGTTGCTCTTGCGTCCTGAGTTTTCCATTACTCAATTCTCTAATTTGGTGAGCACAATTCGCTTCATCTTCCGTCGACTCTCAACTCACTTTCTTTATGCGAACCCCGGAGATACATCTGGTTGAATGGACGTGTCACCCATTATCTCTTTTTTGTTACGGAGCCTTCCACTCTTGACTTTTTTGACAATGTCCTGCATGTACTTGCCACTGGATATATTGTGGACACTTAATATATGGCTCACAGTGCGCATTCGTCACCCTAGTGTTCTCCAATGAGTTCGCCTGCTCTCTGTGTATTCCGGTCTGAGGTAGATGGAACGTTTAATTTTTCCAAATATCATCACCCGTGTTTTCCTAATTGGTTTGACGCGCACCAAAGCGACTCCATCAATTCCCACCATTTATTGTCTTGACCTTACCGCATTCCCCAACTATGTTGAACTTGCTGCCCATTTTAATGTGTGAATCTCTGAACCAACGGAACGTACCATAGTTGTCTATTTCGTCTGCTTCTTAAGGCTTCGTTCACTTCTAACGGTTCTGTATACGAGCAGTTTCAGCCGCCCAACATGTTTCCTTCACAAGGCTGCATGTTGCGAATCAAATGTTTCCAGCTGGTGCATTGTAAGACTGAAGGGGGAAGGTTCCATGGAGCGCATCGGCATACAGCACTTACATTTGCGTCGGAAAAGGCGTTCACTATGGGAGCACTGCTTGTCTCGTCGGATGCTCTTTTTCTTTCGATTGTCCCCATACTTATTCTCGAGCTTGATTTTTCCTCCATTCCACCTCTCATACTTTATCTGGCCTCAAAAGTCTCAGCTTCACCGTGTTCTCACTCGGCCACCTGTTCATTGAGAATCGGCGAAGTAAGTGTTACTCGAACTTTTTGTCTCTATCATATCTCTTCAATGGCAATGCCTTTTTTGGGATTCTCATTAGGTTGTTAGTTCCCCTCCGCCGATTCGGCTCTATGATGTCCTATCACAGTACCTTAATAAAAAGGCAAAGGCAACAGCAATACGCCGGTATGTTGTACCGACACCTCGCTGCCGCACAACTTCCACTGGTCGTACGTGGGCTAAGGATACTGCGTGTGTCACCCGGTCCCTTCGCAGGCTCGAACCCACGCCCTCGAATTACAAGGCAGGCTTGTGATCCTTAAGGATACCGGCCGTAAAAGCCCCACAAACGACTCGAATCAGTAAAGATGAGGCTTTCTCTGCCTCAATAGACAAGGCAACTGCCAACCGAAGGCGCTAACTATCCGTCATCACCTTGAATACTGCCACGGGGATCATCCTATTAGTGGCTAAAGCCCCAGTCAGTAGTACCACGTCGTTTTGTTTGTTGTACTTCATTCACTACCTTACTATAGACTCTTATTCGCCCGGTCATACAGTTCTATTATTTTTGTCTCATGTTCATGCTTCTTCTCCCATCGTTGTTTTTGCCTGTTCTGCCGTAGTGCTTTGCATTTGGAAACTACATATGATGCACTTCAATACTTGTTTGTTGAAAAATAAACTCAACTAAGCTTCCATCTTTTCCGTTTCTTCTACTTGTACTTTTGAAGAGCGCGCTAACATTACCTCGGCTATATCGGCTTTTCGCCCATTTTATTTTACAGTGTTAGCGTTTTGAGCGGTCTTTATTCTATTAAGCTGTTCCCTGCCACTAACCGTATTCATTCTGTTCCTTTACAATCAATGCTTGTTCCTTATTCACCCCATTCTTGTCGGGTAGTGTATTGTCTCATTGTCTCGCCCCGTTTCTGTTTTAAACAGGAAGCCAACTACTTTTTCGGCCAACCGGAAGTCAAGCGCTGTGACGCGAAGCAATCCGATCCCGCTGATTTGTCCTCTGGTGGTGCAGGCCTGCTTCGTTACGATGTTACTCGACGCTCCGATCGCTGTTTTCTCATCGACGTACGTGCGCTTCTGACTCATCCGGAACCCAGTTCCAGTCCCCCTGGGAATGGAGTTTCAACTGCGAACACTTCTGCCACTGAGTCTTACGGATCCGCCCTCAACCACCTAGTCCAGCCTGGGTCCGCATCCAAGGCACATACGACACGCCCGAATGCGCAACAGTTACGATCCATTGATCTGCGCATTGCCGCCTGTCGCGTTCTATCGCTTACTTGGTATTTGACCAGTCAGAAATCGCAAAATCTTGCCGCTTTGTTCAAAGGTTCGTTTTATCGTTATGTTCGGTTCTTTCGTGGTTTCATCTTGTTATCTAGCCTCACATTATTATCATGTTTCACTTGTTAACACTATACGTCAGCGTCCGGAACGTTTTATTCGTTAACTAATGAAGGTTATATTTGGTTCTCGCTTTGCTTTCGTTGTTGATTTAGTTGACCGGTGCTCAAGCTGGACTAGCCGATCTCATCCGGTTTAACTTTCAGTGTTTTTCTCGTTTGAATTAGCCATCTTATGGCTCCTTCTTTTTATCTGTAGTGAACTGAGACTGTATTTAAGAGCAAGTAGACCGGTTTCTGTACAATTCTATCGAAGTATGAAAAATCGAAATCATTTATTTGCGAATTGTCAGCTGTAGTGTTCGGCCAGTTACTCGTTTAACCTTGTTCGGTTAGGAATTCGTATTGGTGTTATTATTTCCGGACATACAATGTCTTCTTTTGGCATTGTATGTGCATCGTTTCACAAAAGCACAGGATTCCAAAATACTCGTCGATACATGTTTTGAAACACTTCACAGAATCCGCCTCTATATTAGTTTTTCTGGTAGTGTATTCCATAAGTTTGCGATTCTTCGTTTTATACGTAGTTGTTGTGATACCCTGTTCATGCTGGGGACCCTGAGCTTGTAACGATGTCCTCGGGTGTTACAGGGTTCGCGCAAGTGAAATATTGGTCGCAGTATGGGGAAGTTATTCAAGTGTAGTATTCCATGGGTCATAATAAGGTCAATTCTTACTCGGCGGTAGGATAGTGTGTAGAGTCCGAGTCTCGCAACGTTTTTCATACGGGAGCTTTCATAGACTTGGTATCATTCTAGTTGCGATATGCTGTATTTTCCCCAGCTTTCCAGTTTCCCACTGGTTATCGGATGATAAGCTGGGGCACCGTATTCAAGCATTGGTTTAATGAGCGAGGTGAATAGGCGAGGGACGATTTCTTCGGACCATGTGGAGAAACTGCGTCTTAATGCCCAGAGCATACGACGTCCCTCACTGTACAATTTCTCTGTATTTTCTAGTGATCTCATATCATGTTGTGTGCGAACTTTTAAGTCCCTGACAGATGTGTTGGGATGGAGCAACTGGCCGTCCAAGGTGTATGATCGAGTGGCTGGACGTCTGGTGATACTGATGAACTCTGACTTGCTTGCGTTATGAGGGAGTTGCATTTCAGTGGACCGCGTTGACAGTCGCTCTAAGCCATGCTGGAGGCGATCGCAGCCGTCCTGGTTCTCAATGATCCTCAGATTTTCAAGTCATCTGCAAACAGGGCACATGTGACCGAAGTTGCTGCGAGCGATCGTGGATATCCATTAGAAATAATACTGGCCCAAGTACAGTTCCCTGAGGCACGCCATTGGTCGATGGGAATTAGTCTGTCAGGTAGTCATTGATCTGTACTCTAAACTTTCGTCCCACAATAAACTCGTGTAACCACTGAAGTAACGTGCCACCGATTCCGTATGTCCTCAGTTTATGAAGGAGTACCTCGTGGTTCACTCTGTCAAACGCCTTACTAAAGTCGATGTGCACCACGTCAATCTCCATTTGTTCGTCGAGAGCTCGTACCCACTGATGGTTTGCGTACATTAAGTTGGCGAGGTAGGATCGCACTTTCCTTAAGCCGTGTTGGGCTGGCGTCAATTCGTCCGTCGATTCGAAGAACGACAGCAGACACTTTCGCAACCTTCTCTAGAACTTTGGACAGTATCGAAGTCAATCAGATTGGTCTAAAGTTCACTATTTTACTCGGATCGCCACCCTTGGGAAGCGGTCTCACTATCGAGAATTTCCAGTCGTTCGGGACAGATCCCTCAGAGTGATTTATTGGATTGCTTTGTCACAGCTGGTGAGATGACATTCAATGGGGACTTGAGTATTAGTGTGTGAAGTCCGTCTGGTCCGGGGGGCTTTGCACCACCGAGCTTAACGAGTAGCCGATACACTCCGTCTGCATGACATTGTAGGTTCTCGAGCAACACTAGCGCAACCTGTGGTGGTACTAGAACAGCTGCCGGTTTACTGGAGAATACTGTGAGGAAGTGCGAAGCCAAAGCCTCCGCACGCTTCGCGCTTGTAATAAGCGATTGTTTGTTCAAGCTGTCTAAGACGGGTAGGCCGCCTGCAGGTTTCAGTTGACGTTTGAAATAGGCAAATATTATCTTGGGGGCTCTTTGGGGGGGGGCTCCTCTTCGAACTGCCGGCGTTTGTTGATCTTTGCGGTGTTACGTAAGGTACGCTGTTTCTTGTACACCGTATAATCCCAGTCACAACCCGTGATGATGTATCTATCCCAAAGTTTGCGACGACGTCGCGCTGACTGTCTATATTCCGTATCAAACCAATGCGGTTTGATAGGTCCGACCTTTAAGTATTTCATGGGAACCAACCGAGTTCACAGCGAGTTAAGCTTGTCCTACATTAATGACCAACAGGCCTCAAACGACGCATCCTGTGGTTGTGTCGAATCAGTCGGATTTGCGGTTTGGACGAGCCCGTTGAACTCCGTCTTCCAATAGTTTAATGTCGGCTTTCTTTATTGTAATATGGTAACGGCAGTTCTATGCTTACCATACTGGTGCAGTGGTCACTGTTCGCTAGAGGTTCGAGGACTCTGACTTCCTTCATATTCTGTTCGCAGCTCGTAAACCTTAGGTCCAAACAAGATGCCGAGTGCGTAGTTATGCGCGTCGGTTGTATGACATGTTGCGTTGCCGCGATTTCAGTAGTCATTTTAGCGAATTGAGCCTCAACGTTGCCATGATCGGGAAGAAGCCGAACGTCTGGCCAGAAGAACTTAGCTAAATTTAGGTCCCGTATCATTAAAAATTGTGGGCCGCTCATGTGTCTCTGTACATGCGGTAGCCAATCGCAACAACAATTTGGTGGGCTACGATAAATGACACTCCCTGTTAGTACTGCGTGTCTGAGGCATATTGAGCACCACAATTGCTCGCGTAAGTTATCCTCGCTCCGATAGGTGCTGATAAGTTTGCCAGACAGTGACTATTTGATCTACAACAGAACATCACCACGATCCTTTGATTTTCGGTCATATCGGAATCAAGGGTATCCTGACAAGACGACTTCTTCTGGTATAACGTCGGAGTTCAACCAAGTCTCTGCAAGTCCTTAGAACTCCGACCGCTCCGAGACAGTGATGCGACACAGTTCGTCACGTTTGTTCATTCAGCTGCACACCTTAGCGATTGCTCTCCATTACTTCGACTTTCCAACTTCTTATTGATGCACTTCGGTATTCGTTCACCCAGGACCCGGCTCGGGGACGGTTTCAACAGTAGCCCTAATATCCGGAGGGGCACAGCAGAGCACGAGCAAACACCGGGATCCAGGACATCTGATACCTGTCTATATACGAAATTCGTCTCGTGAGTCTGCAACCCATCCAAAAAACGATTAGTCGCCGACCCTTTATTGGTCGGCGTAAACTCACTTGCTTCTTCCATCCAATCTAACACACTTTTGGTCTCTGAGAAGCTCTCATGCATGTACACAAATGCCCCAGGTCTACTCAGCAAATTAGATGAATTAAGACTTCGACACGCGTCAGCAGCTTGGGACCCCATCGCTGTCACCGAAACGTGGTTGCACTGTGAGATAACGAATGCCGAAATCGCGCTAACAGACATGTCCGTTGTCCGGAAGGATCGAGCCAGCAAAGATAGTGTGGTAGCCTTCTACTTTCGTAACAACCTGCAATGCGAACTCATAAACGATTCGGAAACTGACGTACCTGACTCCATTTGGTGTAGTTTCCGGCTGAGAGGGAACGATCTTGACTTATTGGTTGTTGTTTACCGCCCACCATCGTCTACTCCTGATTTGGACTGCAACTTACTGGCTGCGTTGAGGCAGTTGATAAACATGAAGTACAGTCACATTCTAGTCACCGGCGACTTCAACGTACATGCCCTAGAATCCCATGCCACACCAGGCGAGCAATTCAAATCAGGCCTACAAGATTTGGTTTCAGACTTCCCGCTTTATCGCCAAGTCACTACGCCCACCAGATTCAGGGGAACTAAAAGGGCCATCCATACTGGACCAAATAAGCACTAATGAAGAACTGATGGTCAAGAGGGTGATAACCGCTACGCCTCTGGGCGCAGCGATCATGCGACGCTAGTGTTTCATTACATATGCTACACGGATTATCCTAGATAGCATACCGAGGAATATCATGTCGTAACCAACTATGACGACCTGTCCGACCTCATTGATGCAACAAGCTGGTCGTTCTGAGCCGAATTGAACTCTGAGGTGGCTTATGGAGAATTCATCAACATATTTAACAAGCTCTTGGCAATGACATCTGAAACCAAACTCTACCGACCTAAAAGGATGAAGTCTTTCGTAAAGAGCAGGACACCTGAATGCATAGCATTAAAGGACTTGGAATGGCACACCTACATAGCCTCCCCGAACCACTACACCTGGGATGTCTACACAATACAAAGGAACCATTGTGTCAAACTCGTCCGGGAGGATAAACTGAAGAACCAACAAGGTCTAGTGGCAAAGTTTTGCTCCAATCCCAAACTGCTATACAGACACGTAAACAATTTGCACCGTGTTGAACGCGGTATTCCTGCTCTACACACGGCATGCGGGTTAGCCCAAACCGCACAAAAGGCAGCCAACATTCTTGAACAACAATTTGGCCATACCTTCCAAAGCGTCCAATCATCATACATCCTGCCTAAACAGATAACGCCGCCATCAGGGCTTAATCACATATTGCTTACCTCCGCAGCTGTACTGAAGTGGCTGGTGTCTCTGCGCGAGTTCAGCTCCCCGAGTGCGGACGGCATTCGCCCGGAGGCGTTGGAAGTTGTTGCCATGAGTTTGGCGGCGCCACTAGCAATTTTCTTTTAACGATGTCTAAACGAGATGCACGTCCTCACGATGTGGAAGCACGGAATCATCACGCCAATCTACAAAAGTGGCAGCTGTGCTGAACCAGCAAATTATCGCCCGATAACACTACTTCCTGTGATCTCCAAGGTTATGGAGTCCATTGTAGCTGAGGCTTTGATGGGGTACCTAGAGAATAACAAAATTCTCGTTCCGGAGCAGCACGGATTTCGCCAAAATCGGTCCTGTACCACTAATCTGTTCATTGGTCGTGCAAGCTTGACGGAATCTGTGAACGCTGGTGTAGAAGTCGACGCGGCCCACCTGGATTTCTCAAAGGCATTCGACCGTATAGACCATCGCATTCTACTCCACAAACTCCAGAAATATGGAATCGGCGATCCTGTTCTGGACTGGATAGAAGACTCTCGTGTAACGTCATCTGAATGTGAGGGTTCGAAATAACCTATCGGAATCCATCAATGTTCCTGGTTTTCATAAATGATCTCGCGAGCGTACTATTTCCTAACTGTTTGCTATTTGCTGATGATCTAAAGGTATGGCTTAATATAGCTGCAGTGGAGGATCACACAGTGTTACAGGAGGACCTGAACAAAGTGTACATATGGTCCTTTGAGAACATGCTGCATTTCAACGTCACCAAGTGCAAATTTCTCAGCATACGGCACAAGAGTATGCACAAGTAGCGCCTAGGGCCACAAATTCTACAGCGGGCTTCTCACGAGTGCGATCTCGGCGTGATAGTTCAAGATGATTTCGGTTGTGTTTAGGCAAACTGAAAAGGCATCTAAGAAAGCAAACCAGTACCTCGGCCTTCTTCGCAGAGCTTTCGGGAAGTTTGACCCTTCAGTCTTTCCAAAAATGCTTAGTGCGTACGTGAGGTCACACGCGGAATACGCTGTTCAAGCGTGACAACTCTGGCTCAAGCACCATCTCACCGCGCTCGATACTGCACAACGTTGGGCAACGAAGAGCGTCAGAGGTTTGACCAGTCTACCCTTCCTACTCCGGCTGAAATCTGTCGAAATATACATTGGACGTTACCGGCGTTTAATGGGCGATCTCATAATGGTGTACCAAGTCCTGAGAAACCCCAACCACCCATGCCATCCCCTTCTGATACTCAGTCAAAACACCCCGCTAAGAGATCATCATTTTAAACTGGTCACACAGTATAGCCGACTGGAAAGTCCGCGAAACCTTTTCTCCCTTCGAGTGTCACAGCCTTGGAACGCCCTCCCGGAACATGTAATTAATGCTCCCACCCTATCCCTTTTCAAAAAACGCCTTGACGATCCCCTGTCACATTTACACTATGTGTTATAGCCCATGACCACCAGATGCCCTCACTAATGCACGACAGACAGTGGACAGTGCCATAACGCTACTCGAGAATGAGTCACTCCAAACCCCTTCCACACAATTTGATAAACGCTACTACTGTAGAAACTGGATTTCTGTATCTCGTCGACTCGAGATAGCTGCACACGAGTAAGCGTTGTCCCTGCTATTTTTTTCTCGCCTATTACTTCAATAATAAACAATCCCCTTATTTTGATGTACTCATGAGTAGTGGATTTTGATGTAATTAAGGGAGGTTCGTCGCAGCCAGTTTCCAAATCAGATAGTTGTCCACATGTCCGGAAAAGCACTAGACTGCAGTTTCAGCCTGTTTGGCATCGTCAGTAGAGCGCATCCATCGGATCCATCAGGATTCGAATCCATGACCACCAGCGACTTGCACCGCCAGTCAGCAACTTATGCCACTGGGCAATGGGGGACAGCTTCGGACAGTCATGATTTACAAGCTAACTGTGATATAGCGCGTCTTATCCTCCATGAGAGAATAGGACTCGAATTCAGGTCGCAGTGGTTGCCAGCCCAACGTTTTATCCGCCGCACCGCATATGGCCAGGTGTCACTCATGCTATTGCGTCATGTTTCGCATATCTTTCTCTGCATTCTTTCCTTTTTCCGCGCCATCGTTCGTAAGTTCGGTTTGATCTTAGCTCAAGTGAACTACCTCAGATTTATGCTTACTTCCGGACAGACTGTCTTCTTCTCCCCATCTATCTGCAAGCGCTACTCACTATTTCACGGGATCACCTATTCTACTGCATCCTTGGGAAGCAAATCGCACTTACTCAGATGATCATTAGGCCTTCACAATAGTTGCTTCAATGAGAACAGCCGATGCACACCTAGCGAATCGTCTTTTATGATGCCATTATGTCTGTTGGACTGCACTGGACAGCGGAATTGCGAGGTAGCTGCTCAGTGATCTCAGCAGCTATGGCCGACGATCAGAAGGGAGCAAGTGACAACTGTTCATTGAACGTTGTGGCCATGGCTCGCTCTTTACAGTGATTCCGGTTGTCTTCAGCGTTACGCATCCCACACTTCATTGACAGACCTCCCTCAGTCTTTTTCCATGGGTTGTTTAGGTTGTGTCTTCCTGACACGCGAGAAGTCTTGTGCACAATTTGACCATCTGGCTGCAACAGCTGCCTCTTCGACTGAACTGGTTACTGCCGAAACGCCACAGACTGCTTGACTGTGCCAGGTCTGACATGGTCTCTAACCATTTATGTGGATCTTCCACCGACCCGCATCCAAAAAGACGACACACCAGCCTAAGCAGGTATGTCATTCAATTTCTTCCTGCTTTTGTGCTAAGTCATCTACTGGCGATATCGCGGCTTCACATAACTTGTTGCATCCAGGGCATATGTACGCACTCCGAGGGAGCCGATCAACGGGCATGTCGGGGAAATGAGCTGACCAACGTAAGCAGTTAAGCTTAAGCAACCGCTCGAGAAATTCACCAGAAGGCTTCTTGACAAAAACCAACTGGCGGACTCCAGCATTGCTCAACCCCCGTTGCCACGAGATGTGGGCGATACTCCGCAGTTATCGGTGATCAAACATAGTCAATCAGTCTTTACTCCGAAATGGCCGGATCTCCGATCCACACAGTAAGACCGGCCTTACTGCAGTTACACACCTTGCTTTTCACTAACAAGGTGATATCCAACCGTTTCCATGGATGATTGAGCCTCTGGAAAGGCACACGGGCCTTACTAATACGCGAATTAATCTTCTCAGTGATGTAACCACCAGAGGTGACAGAGCTATCAAAATAAGTGAACCGTTGCACCACTTCCAATGGCTGTTTGGAAATAGCTAAGACCGGAGATGAGTCGGTCCAGTCCTACAGCAGTACTGTACACTATGAAGGTGCAAAGCACCTGCCGAAGTGTGCAGCGTTTCTCTTCAGTGCTCGCATAGACACTACGTCAGACCCTAGGAGAGCTGTATCGTCCGCATACTTCAGGTTTGTCCCACGGTCGTCCGGCATAATTTCCACTTCGAACGAGTGTGGTAGAACGCGGACATCATTTCGATCACGAGTATATTGCATCTTTCTGTTAATTTTCCTCCAACCCCCCATCCTCTTATCGCGCTTCCTTTTTGCGTACTTTTCTTTATATGGTATTGGGATTGAACCTCATTTTCTTACCGTTGTTACTTGTTGTTGCTCTGACGACGTGAGTTCTTCAATCGAATCGAGTTCTTCAATCGAACTGCCCGATCTTTAAGTACTGGATTGCTGAGCGCGTATGAGAGCTTATGGCGAGCCAACTTGGTTCTCCATCACTAACATTACTTACCGATGCGAAAAAGTTTTATTAAGCTTTCAATACCCCGAACCAAGATGTTAGTTTACTTTTTCGTGATTTGGATTCAGCTCCAAAATAGCCGTGTCGTTTGCATACGAAAAATCTGCAATTCAACTTCTTAACGCAAGCGATTGTAGTTATTAACGGTTTTCCAACTATGCTCTAAGTGGATCGAGAATGTAACACCACAGAAGCGATCTCACTGTATTGCGCTTTACTCAGGACTGTGCATCCCTCGTTACCCAACCTTCTGTGCTGCAGACCATGGGGCATCCCCGTGATTGTTGTACATACTAATGGCATACTCTTCAGTCACTGCTTCTGACAATCGCTCTACCTGTCCACTTCATCACTGTTTACACCTCATTCCAGCAACTTGTTTCGTCCGGTTTTGTATTCACTCTCTTGTTCCTTTTCAATCCTTTTCACTCCTTTTTGTCTCCCTCCTCCATCACTGTTTTTAGGCATCAATTGTGACTCAGATGTCATCCATGAAGCAGCGTTTGTTTGCCTGAAAGAATTCGTCAGTCATACGAACGTCGACATCGAACTACGTCATGCTAACGTGAAACCTATACTGCAAAATATCCGCCAAGCCATAAATCTTCGTCTGGTCACTGCTCGTCAGTTGTCGTATTGCGCCCAACTTTTTCCAAGTACATTCAGCGAACGTCTGTGTGACGCCATCTATGTGAGTTCATGCTCATTTACCTCCGTGGGGTACGTCAACTCTCTGCCTTAGCTCAGTTGCTGCCCGAGTGTTCAGAATTAGAATCGTCTACCCCGGTGAACACTACACTAGGCGTGACCTCTCTCTTCGTTGCTAAACTGAGCTTCCTTTACACTCTCATTCAGACCATTTTTGCTTTACACACTTTACGTACTTAACCGGAGTTCCTGCATGCTGTCGATTTTAATGCCTTCAGGTCGTCGCCCTCTGCTGTTATCATTACAGCAACTGTATCCATCCCATTTCCGCGCTTGGATGTTACTTGGTTTGTTGAGATGAAGTATCCTTCACTTTATAAACTTTAACTTCTTTATGTAAGAGAGCAGTTCAGAGCTAGCCATTATTCTTCTTGGTTCTTGAGTGAATTCTCTGCGCAATGCATTGTCCATTCTGTCGACTTGTTGTTATTCATCGATTCCGTTTGCCGACTTCCTTACAGTCTCATCTAAACACTCTTGTGGACTCTCTGCCTTCGAAACAGAATATTTCGTCAGTGTCCACGCTAACTCCGCCTGTGAGTTCTACTTGAGTACTCTACTGCATTCATATGCAAATCTATCGTTCCAATGTTTATTTTTCAACCCTCTCTTTCGACGCGTTTGACATTTTCTTTGACAATCGTAGCTCCGTTTGGTTCGGCAAAGTTTTCTCCGTGTGTGAAATCTGGTTGTTCGTTTATTGACGGCAACTCACAAGTACTCACAAAACATTCGTCCGTACATTTGCTAAATGCTATGTCACTCATAAATACTATACAAAATACTGCGGCCCTAGGGGTCAACCTTGTCCTCTGCAAAGTTTGTAACTTACATGCAAGTTTAGGTCGAGCGTCACTATATCGCAGTTGAATTGCAACTCATGACGGTTTGCCGCCGTTGTCAATGGCATTGTGATTTAAGCTGCTGGCATTTAGAGGTCATGAACTCGATTCCTGATAAAGTCGAGGGTTTTGCGCTACTGACAAGTCTCATTAGTACGACATGGACATGTGGCGCTTTCTCGGATGCATGCGTGGATAGCTGATTTGGAAACTGTGCGAACAATCCTCGTTTAAACTGCACTTTAAACCGTATCCTCGCAACCAACTGTTATTCCCTTGGAACAATTGGTTGCAAGTGCTGTTCGAAAGTCCATGGATGAATTGACACTCCGTCTGATTTGAAGGAGTTCATTCAGAGACACTTCCGTTCACTCTGTCATATTTTACTTACAAACCTCCCCACCTTTAGATGAGCTTCTCATAAGCCATATTTTGCGACTGTACGACCATGTGACTAGACAGATGCAGTATGCTGTCGGATGATCTTTAAGCATCGCATCGTTCATCACATCTTCTGTTGCTGGGCCACTTTTTGGCGCATACATGAATACGCTCACTTCCGCACCCTCTGGAACACACTTTAGAGACCCTTCCAAACTCCATTCTCCTCCGACCCATTCGCTTCCGATCCTCCATGGTCAGAATTGTGAACACCCCACTCACCTCGATTGCTGGTCATTCGGATGCTTACCGCAGTAGTTCGCGTTTTTTCCCTCTTTTTGCTTTGGAGCCCCCTTGCATCTTGCCCTACAGCTCGACATGAATCTTTTGTAAACAGTTTTGTCTTTTACGTTGGAATCATAAGAAATGACCGATTAGTTCCGACGGCGCGGCGAACGCATCATCTGACCGAACAGTGGTTCATTTGAATCCTACGTGCACAATTCTTCTTTACTTTAGCTTATCGATAGGGCGAAACACTGCAGTAGGGACAAACAGAACAATCCGATGGCAGATGAATCCAATGCGATCTGCTACCGTGCACGGATCCTGAGGTATTTCAACATTTCAGCGTATATTACAATGTGCTTGATACCGGGCAAAAAGTCGCTATCTCGAAGAAGGTCTTTTAAACAAGCAGTCAGTGTATTTTATTGTTAACGCTTTAATTCTGACAGCAAGGCTTCTTCAGGCTAAGTTGACTAGTTTTAGATTCTGTGACATTTTGTAGCTTATGTGGACTAGAATTGACAATAACGAAATGGTATTCAACGGGAAATTACACTTTTTCATCCAGAAGTGCGCAGTTACTTCACATGCAATCAGTCGGATGCGTCACATTTGATTTATTTGTTACTCCAATGCGTTTCACTCTAACCATTTAGTTCTATTCATGCTAACCATCAAAACTTGGTTTCGTGGCGCATACTACTGTGTCGATGGCCGCCACCTGGGCTCTTTGTCGACTGGACTTGATCTATCCAACACACTTTGGGACACTGAAGAGGTGACGTGCCCTCAGACTGTCAACTGTTGGTTTGCCGGACTGCGCGAAAATCCTCCAGGCATTAGCGTTCTTTCCATTGCCTACAAACTTCTCGCGGATATTATTCTTCGGCAACTTATCGGCCGTCGTGAGTGCTAGATAACTGAGCGCCAGGCTGATCACCTGACTACCCACAGCTGAACAAGCCAAATTGTTTTATCTTACTTTCTACATCTTTCTACATTTTTGACCTGAGAGTGGCTTCTTTCCGACCGTATAATTCTTTTTTACTCCTTCACTTTATCTACCGTGTTGCAACTCTGCGATCTCATCCTTTCTAGACACTTTCAGTCAAGTACCTAAGAAAGAGGACTAATGATATATCACACTTTCGATAACACTTAGGTTGTCTTGGGTGATCTGTTACTTTACTGCCCGTGCACACTACCCTGTGAGGTGGGCCGTAACATCTAGAAATTTATTGTGATTTTCGATTATTGCTCAACAGGGTTATGTCCATCGTCTGCTCATGCGAGAGTAGAGCAATAAGTTTCCTCTTTTGCAACAAACGAAACATTACATTTTATCGTAGTACTCTCCACCAGCGTTTCTGCACAGTTCCATGCCCTCAAACCATTTGGAGAAGCAGCTGGATCATGACGAGATGGGTGCCCCTTGGGACATCTTAATAAACGCCTGTACTGCAGCTTCTGGGGGACTCGTAACGGATTCCACGCATCATTCGCTTGACATTTGAAAGCACAAAAGTGTCACACAGCCAGGTCTGAACTTGTAGGGTTGGTGTCCAACCTCTTGGACGCGTTCTCCAGCCAGAAAATCTACGACCACATAGGACCTGTGTGCAGTTGCGTTGTCATGGTGTAGCAAGGTCCCCTGTGCTGGAGTCCTTAAACAACGTCTGGCTTCAGGTTACGGCACTTGTGGCAGACGACGGGTGGCATACCAGTCTCCGGTGACTGTGCGTTGCCGTATGAGTGGTACACTAGACGCATGACCAGTCTTGGCCACGGACACAGCCACCATCTGCTTGTCCACACTGCACTCACACCGGAATTTCTGAGACGGCGCCACACCAACAGCTGTCCAATGGGCCGATTATTGCTTGGTCTGTGAGTAAAACTGCACACTTAGTTTTCATCACCACTGAGAATCTCCCAAACAGCATTAGAACCTTCACCACCAACCCTGGCAATCATGGTGCGGCACCAATTCATCATAGTTGTTTTCTAGTCCTCACTGAGCTGATGAGGTACCCAGCATGCGCAAACCTTTCTGAGGCCGAACTTCTCATGTAGGATGATGCGGGGTGATCCGGATGAGATCCCGATGGCTTTCCACAGCTGCACCACTGTCACCCTTCGCGTCCTCCTCTGGCAGCTCTTGCACAGCAGCAATCTTGTCCGCGATGGTGGCCTCCACAAGTCGACCACACCTTGCCTCCTCATCTGGGGACGGCCTGCGACGCTTGCATTTTGTGAACCACGCATAGCGTGGTTCTTGATGGCGCCTCACCACCAAACACAACACGCAATCGCTCAACACTCTGATGCTGCTTTAAACCACATTTGTCGTCATAGAAAATCATCGCCCTCCAGTGGCCTAGACTGAATTCCGTACTTAGAGTCAGAATATAGCGACGCTTCTAACTGTGTTGGGCTGCTGATATAGGGTTCTGTGAGTTGAAATCACTGAACAATGTTCAGAACGGATAACAGTTCAAATCTTTCTGCCAGGTCATCTGCACCGAATCTGTATATCGCGTTTCCGGAAACTTATTACTCTGCCCTCGTATGGTACCCACGTATGCTACCGTCTTCTTTCCTTTTTGCTCATCCCTCACAGAAATCACTATGTTATCCCCCTTTGCATTAAAATATCATCACTTTAGGTCCTGGATACAATTGCCACTGACATCAGTCTATCAGACTGTGATTTGTGCAAATTTCCCCTCATGTCAAAATCGGCTTCACGCACATGAAATGACACGTTTCAAGTATTCTGCTATTGTATTAATATTTAACAATGTTCTCAGTCATATCCGAGTGGCTACCAAATAATTTCTACTAAATGTCTCACTGTCTGTCGCGTGCTCCTAACCGTTGTGTCAAACGTTGATCACAGTTCTCAATTGCCTAAAATTCAACGCGTCGGCCGTCAACCGTTACGTCACGAGTTCTGCTTCCAACTTCGTCTATTTCTACCTGACTAGTCCAAGTCAGGACGAAACCGGTCGATTGTTTTTGGATGGAGCAAGCAAAATCGAAGTCTGTCGACTTCGATTGTGCTCTCGGTGCTTGGAATGACCGATGTCTACCACAAAGTTAACCGGGGCCCCCATGGAGCTTACGTATTGCAATTCAAGCACACTGCGCGTACTCTAAAATCCAACGTTGTGTTGCTCTTGTTGAAGCCACTGGTAGTGACACAGGTAGAACCCTCTAGTTGGGGCACGAAGACCAAGGAAAGTTGGTCTGTAAATAGCTACAACTCTGATGATGGTACAACGGTAGGCGGCAGGACATTTACGACGACGACGAATTGCATTTCACTCAGGAACTTTGTATGGAACCTTATCAAATGACAACTACGCGAAGTTGTGTATGTGAGTAGCAAGTCTATGGATTTACTCTAACTTTGATTATTCTAAGTGTTTACATCACTGCAATTCTGCTTCTTTCTTCCTGGACAGTCTGGTCTAATGGAGCTGGACAACCTCTTTCTTTTACCTCAGAAGCCAATCAACTTTATAGGAACCTACGAGTGACTGTATTTGTGTACCCCTACTTCACCTCATACTAGGCTTTTAATGACTAAATGGGCCTATAAATCCACAACTTTGCTTTGCTGAAGGATTGTATCAGCCATTCCTGCGCCTTATCACCAGGAGCGCAACTGAGACTGAAGTAGCCACCAGCGCGATTATTTGCTTTGTTCCTATACCTTCCTTGATGTTCTGTTTGAAGCGTTTCTGTCTATGTGATCGTATGCACCGTGCTGCGTGTTTTCGCGTTTCCCATAGGATGATCAAAAAATATGGGGTGGCGCTGTCTGCGATTAGCGACCTCCGGTTGCTTTTTCCTTGCCTGCGTTGTCAGGGTATCCTCTCGTGGATTTACCGGCATACTCTAATTATTTTGTGGAAATTTTGGAATGCTTCAATTTGATCCCTGAATCTGCAATTCCTGGCTCATATTTTCTATGTTATCTTTCCACGGACCTCGTAGTTCCGTTTTGCAAATTCTACCTTACCATTTCACGTCACTTTTGCATCACTTTTCCGAAATGCCCACGAAATCACCGTGTGGTTCCTGCTTGAAAATTGTTGGAAACACGACAAATGACCTTACGTACTTTGATTGTTGTGTTAGATTTCATATTTCGTGTGTTGGATTATCTGCCGATTCTTATAATCTTCTGCGCTCCATTCGACATGATTTCATTCTAATTTTGTGCTACCAATGTCGCAGTCTAAGGTAGCCAGAGAAAGGTATAACATCTACCGATGCAGATCACGCAAACTGGCCTAGAATCCATCCGAGGTTCAACCCAGCCTTCCTCCCATTCAACTTCCCCTGACAACTCGTTACCTCGCCATCCTAATGTTTCCGGAGACACGACACCAACTGAAGCTAATGATCCACTGACTTTACGTTCTGCTAGCTCTAATGTCGCATGTTGAGGAGTCATGGAAAACTCAGCGACAAAAGAAGTCGCGAAACGAAGCAACGCTTTCTGCTACTGACCAACAACAGACCAGATCACGCAAAGCTCGATTCCGCCCTTCTCCCGCAGGACTAAATCTGATGTTTTTTCACGCACCTGCGTCCAACGATCCAAGTTCTCAGACACGCTATGCTCATTACGTAGACTTCCTACAGAGCCTGCTTGATAGGCTTTTCGATGTGGGTGAGAACGGAGAGAAATTAAAGGAGGAAAACGGACCTATGCAAGTAAGTTTTGCTGGCGAGGCCCGTCCGAAGCGAATACTGTCTCGGTTGAGTAGATTGAAAGGCGATAAAATGCATATTCGTCCGGATCTCGATCCAACTGACCGGGAGCGCCTCAAGTGTGCCATCACCGAGCTAAAGCAGCGAATTGGTAAGGAAGAAACAGACCTAGGTATTCTAAACGCGAACGCGGTAGTTCTTACTACAGCCTGCAGTCTTATGAAAAAGCGCGATGAGCTATGCCGTTTCGTTGCTTTCGAGCGACCAGATGTAATGGGACTCGCAGAGACGTGGTTGAATGATGAGGTATTCACCCAGGAAGTTACGCCTAGTGGCTAGTCGTGCTTCCACTGTGATAGCCTATCAAATGCCCGCGGTTGCGTCTTGCTCTATATCCGGTCTTCTCTGTGTGGGAGACTCGTGAACGCCCACCGAAGCGAAGATGACCTATGTGAGCAGTTGTAGTGCTCGATCCCTCTCACGTGCGGAGAACTGCTGGTGGTTACATTCCATCGCAGTCTCCTGAGCCGTTGTTTTGATTGGCTGCCGTATCTCCAACACCACATGTGTCGCTGTCATTTTCTATTCGTAGGCGATTTCTCTTGTCCTCGAATACGCTGTCCTGAAGTTGTAGTTATCACCGGTTATTGTGAGGCTGAGGCAAAGTTCGTTGATATGGTACTTGAAACTGGAGCAGCACAGCACATCTGCCAACCGACGCGCATAACACTGTGCTCAACTCCATCGTGCTTAGACTTGATGTTAACCAGCTGTGAACAACCTGTGTATGACATTCGGATCCTGGAGCCTCTGGCAGCAAGCGACCACTCAGTTCTTATTGCCAACATGGAGCTGCCGTTGCAGCAATCCCACGCACTGCAGCCAGATTACAACTACTGGGAGATCTATTTCGATGGCCTGACTCGAGCCGCGAGCCAAGTGGATTGGTTTCTGTCGTAATCTGCATCTGCTGAAGCTTGTTGGTCACTTATAAAGTGTGGAATAAATTCATTATGTAACCAATTTGTGTCTGCCAAGTGTCGGAAAATCGAACCGGTCAAATCACATTGGTTCGACAAAGAATATGGTAAGCTGGCTCGGCAGCGACGCAAGCTATGGGACAAATTATTTATCTCTGGCTCGGATGACTACTATGAGATGTTTAAAAAGCAGCGAAATATCTACAACGATGTGAACACCAACAAGCACTGGCCTAACTAAGAGGAGCTTGCAACCGCAACAGAATCCTTGCGTACCTGGAGCGGCTCCTGAGGCTCACAAGTAACCTACCAGTGATGGAGAACGAGAACATACAGTCCCTAACCAACACTGAGCGTGCGTCCGTCTTGGCGGCGCACTTTGCTTCTGCGTTTGCAAATGTCCAGGTGTCTGTACCGAGTTCGGCGTACAGCACCCTTACCGAAATCGACACTCAGGATTGTAGTGTGGGAGAGGTGCGTCAGCTACTCGACAATCTTGAGGGTACCAAACCTGCTGGCCTGAAGGTCCTTATCGGCCATTATTTTGCCTGTGTTAGCTGACGTGTTCGCAGGTCTATGCATGAGGACAGCTTGCCGATTGATTGGAAATGGTCCATGATAATGCCAATTCCGAATGGCTAACAACAACACTAATTTGTATGATACCTATTTTGGTCAAGGTTGCAGAGAAGCTTGTGAAGAAGCGCTTGTTATAGCTCTGCCGGTTAAAAGATCTCCTGATGCTTGCACAGCGCGGTTTTATGCCAGGTCGTTCATGCATGACTAACCTGCTCGTGACGAGGCATATGTCTGCAAATATTGAACCTGCGGAAGTCTGTCGTAGTGATCTGCATCAATTACAGCAAAGCGTTCAACAAGGTGAACCATGAGGTCTACCTTCTCAAGTTGCGTCTGTGCAGTGTTAGCGGATCTTTGCACTAATGGATCCGAGACTTTTTCGTTGGACTAAAGTGGAAGGTACAAGTCACTGACCACCTGACCGACTGGTAACCTTCGACCAATGGCGTACCTCAAGGCACGGTGCTGGGGCACACATTGTTTCTGATTTATATCAACGACCTAACTCAGTTTCATCAGTCGCTGTGGGCCCTGTTTGCAGACGACCTGAATATGTGGAAAGTTATAAACACATCCGACGACTGCAGCTTACTTCAGCAAGACCTCAACCGCCTTTCCATGTGGTCTGCAGAAGTGCGACTCCCCGTCAATCCATCCAAGTCGGTTTTCATGAGCCTTGGGTGGGGTGGTGACGACCGAACCTAGAGTCTCAACGGCCAGCTACTACATCCCACACCTTCCGTGAAGGACCTAGGAGTACTCACACGTTGTGACCTGAATTCCTTTGATAACACGAACAGACTATATCTTAACGGACTGCGCATGCTCTAGGCACTCAAACGCTGTTTCTGCATCTGCTCTGAAGTGATTGCCACTCGCTTCTTCTCTTCCATCATCAAACTAATGCTAGAGTGCGGTTCGCCCGCCTATTGCACGATCACGCGCGACGAGACGCAGAAGATCGAACGGACTCAACACCTCGCTACTATGGTTATCCCCAGTTTGTGAGGCTTACCGTACTAGGACAGGTGCGAGAGGCTGCGATTGTACACCCTGGCATATCGTCGGTTAAGTGTCGACCTCATCTTGGCCTTACGGATTCTGCATGTAGACGACTCCCCATGCTAAGGCCACTGCTACATTTGCGAATGCGTTTGCATCACACGCGGACACTAATACAAGCTTGTGTGAGTTCCACACCCCGTGTGCTTGGAACGGTTTGCCAGAACATATAGTGGAAGCGAACTCAATGCAGCAGTTCCAACGATCATTGGATGTGCACTTCTCAAATTTTAACTTCTGAGAGCGATTACCCATAGACATCTCACAATTTTCAGTCCTGATCTACTGCGAGTTCAACGATTTTTAACGGTATAACGTGAGAACGTGTAAAATGATCGGCGTATTGCCAAGTCATAATTTGCTTTTGTAACGTTTTTGATCATGTTTCGATGGAGTTGTACCGATTCAAATTTCTACTTGCTCCCACAATACAGTATTCAGGACAGCATGAATGACTTGGGTAATTATTTCACCAAAAGAAATTGTAAAGTATTCTTCGTATTACAAGTATTTTTCGTATTAGCAATGGTATTCCAGTGAAGAGGACAGCGATTGCCGAATTTAAGAATCCGGCTGGCCAGATGTGTTCATTCCAGAATATAGTGGATGTTGTATACTTAACCCCTCTCATTGCTGTTGCATGTTTTCTCTATAACATGTGGCGTTTCTGACGCACACACACACACTACGGAGGTATCTCATGGAATACTCCCACCCTAGGTCGCCAACTATTGATGGTGGGCAAATACGAGTTTCTGAAAGGAGTAAATACTCTCATCACTGCGCATGTCCCTAACACGTACAAGGCATCTTATGGTGCCCGCCTCACTATTGACGACTGGTAAGGTGGGCTTTTAAACGCACCCATCTTGACTGCGTGCTTTGTCATCTCAAGCCCTGCATAATCTATACTTTCATTTTTGCTCTTCAGTACGACAAGCATCGATGGCATTGATAGTGAAAGCAATTACTGGCATTTAGCATGACTCTGCGTTTACTCTCATTTTTCGCATCACGTCTCTCCCAACTCATTACTGCATACCTTCTATTTTTTGCTCCATCCCACCAGACTTTGGAGTTGTGTGCCGTTCTGATTGATTTGTTCCACCTCATTCCACTGGCTACCGCGAAGCACGTCTCCCTGCTCATCGAGCTGGTTATGCGTGCTGAGCGTTCGCTGAATATCGAACCGACGAGCCCGTTGCGTTTGCCTCTTGTTCGATTTCTGGCCCGATATCCTGCCGAGACATGTGTGCATCTTCTCACTGGATCCAGATGGCCCCATGATGCCCAAGCCCAACGGCTGTTTCTGGTACGCTGTCCAATTACGTGACCACTCGATGAAGTATGGTGCTTCTTTCAATAGCTTTTTTTGATCAACCCAACTCCAGACAAGTTTAAGTCACAATTTGGAGTCAGTAGGTCTATGGTGTAATAGCTCAGGCTTTCGCCTCGTAATCCCTGCGACCCGGATCTGTAATTTGCTTACGACAGCTGTATTTGCCAGTGACATGTGCGCTTGGAAATGGTAGGGCTAAGTTTCATAATATTTGTGGCCGCTTTGCCAAACTGCAGGAGTAGTGCGTTCGCAGTGTCCACAGCATTGATCTTTAATCCACTAGCCCCTCTTGAGTGGTGGTATTCTAGGCTTAACTTACCTCTTTTCGTTCACATATCTTTATAGCAGTTTGGTGTTACTCGTAAACTGCTGTCATTCGTACTTGTCGGTTTTAATGAGTTACTTGCTGCAGTTTCTGATTGTTTTTTAATTCTGCCATGTGGTATCATATAGGCTTAACGCATGTTGCTTCCAGATCTCATCTCTCCTACTGATCCATTCACATGTTTTGCTTCAGTTCCAAGGGTATAGACCGTTGATCACACTACATTCTCTCCGCTTTCCATTTTCACTTTGTAACGCCTTGTTCGTTCCCAAAAGCCGTTCTAGTCACTTAAATTCCGCCACAATCCCCTTTTTGCTTTTCACAGTACGTCCTCCGATGTCCTCAGGGTCAGGCTGTGGTAGAGTACCTAAAAACGAACCATCACATTCTGTCCGACCTTGTTCGACCGAACGATCTCACCGAGTTGAAAGGTGAGCGCATTCATTTCATCATGTTGTCTCCCAGTCATCGTTTAATCGCTCTTATTTTTATCAACCAGCTTGTGACTGATGCCCATCTTATTTATTTTAAACCGATACACTGACTGTTCTTAATAAAAGCACTTGATTACTGTTACGTTCTTCGTGGTTTTATTATTGGCTTCCACCACCCTGTTGCTTGACACTGCCATCACTGTTGCAACACGATTCATTGCTAATAGTTGAAGCACAATGCAACGAAGGACGATACGCGTGCGAGGAGAGCCTTCTGACATATTGGTCGTTGACAACGTTTCCTGGGCATGTCCCAGAGCGTCTCAGGCCCGAGATTCACAGTCAGGTGAAATGGGAGCGCATTACCACGAAATGCATTCGCGGCCTAGCGACTTAATGCTTCTAACCGGATTTATGCCCTAGTCTCCCTGCTTTCCTTTTTCAGACAGCGGAATTGGGCATTTGTTAAGCCGGCATGGGCATTACGTATTCAAGTCACCGAAGCATAGGTCTAGTGATCATGGAAGCCAGTTGGCTTAATATCGTTTACCGTTATGCCCCGGCGACTTAAGCGGAACGGTATTCGGTGATTCCCTAATGATCCCCACTTTCTTGCAATACACTAGGTTATTCGGCCAAGTTGTAGAACAATTTAAGCTTTACTATTTTTGTTCAGTGGTACAATTATATGCCTCATCGTTTGTTCCTTCTTACAGCTTCCGGCGGTCGTTCTCTTAACCGCTACTTTCTTCCGCGCACGGGCACGCCCTTAACTGCAGCCTGTCCGAGGCATTTAGCCCTGAGAACCATCCACACCCTCCATAAGTTGTTCCCAAACTGGCTACTCAGTAGTCCTTTGGTATCGGAGGAATCGTCGAAAACCAAATCACGACACAAGACTGTGAGCTCCTCAACTGGTTCCAAGTCGTCTACTACCAGTCACCCGGTCGCTGATGCTTTGTTGGATTACTGGAAGTCCGATACATTCGCCAAACGACAGGCCTGTCTAACTCTGATCACTCTAAGTGGCCCAGGCTCTGGAGATCCGGAGGCAATCAGTACTCCTGGTGCAGAATTTTTGGAAACCGAAGGCAAATTAGACCATCGTATCATCTCCGCATCATTGCAACAGAGTGCAGAAACCTTATCGTCTTCACTCGACCCTGGTTCATTTATATCCAGTGGCACGGTCAACATTGACCACTGGGAGGAGCCTCGGCTCGTCCTCGATTGTCTTTTAGATTGCTACAAGTAAGTTTTGTTAGATATATAGTTGTTGTTTGGGACTTATGATTCACTTTGCCGTGTGTATTTGTCTGCCCACCTGTGTTCTTTCACTAGTAACTCTTTTCTTTTCCATCTGATGCCGCAATTTCTTTACGGTTCTTTAGGCTTCCAAGCCAGATATTGTCAAATGGAAGTCATAACGCCAGGAGTGTCTATCTTTTACTTACCGTTGCGTGGATTCCTTTCGGTTTTCATTCGCATTGTTAACCGATACCACGATGGAATTGCTTCTTTTTCCGATTCTTTTTGTTAGTACCGTTTCTTTTCGCGGTAGAATCAGTGTAACGCGGCTGTTCTCTACTGGTGCCTGATAAGGTTACTCATGCAGTGCTCCTCCACAGGCTGAGGGTGTGCGGTGTTGGCGGCTCGCTGCACCGATGGATCAGGAGTTTCCTTGTTGGTCTAAAGTGGAGGAGATCCAGGTCGACAGCCATCTGAACGACTGGTATCCGTCGAAAAGTGCTGTGCCCCAAACCACTGTACTGGGGTATATTTTGTTCCTTATCGGTAAAAACGATGTGCCTCAGCTTCTCTGTTCGCCTTGTGCGTTGTTTGCAAATGACTTGATGGTGTGGAGAGTAATCCAATGACTGGGACCTGCTTCAGCGGGAACTCCATTCCCTCTCCATGTGGCCTGCAGTGGTCAGCCTTCCGATAAACCCGGTCAAGTCGCAATTCATGAGGCTGGGTAAGGGTGAGCATAGTCAAACCTACAGTGTGGCCGTTCAACCGTTGTATCCCGTACCTTTCGTACGAGATCTCGGTGTACTTTCACGCTACGGCCTAAAGTCTATGGACAACACGAATGACTTTTACCAAAACGGACTTTGTATGCTTTGGGCGCTCAAACGCAGCTTCAACACTTGGTCCCCTCTTCGTCTCAGTAATATGACTAATGCTAGAGTATAGCTCACCCGCATACTGTCTCATCATCCGGTGCGAGGTACAAAGGATTGAGCGGGTACAGCATGTGACCACTGGGCTCGTCCGCACTTTTCGAGGTGTGCCTTACGAAGACTGGCGTAAAAGACTAGGGCTTTGTACCATGTCTTATTGTTAATTGTGTGTTAAACTTATCATGACGCAGCTTATATTACATCTTGGTGATTACCCCATCTTGAGGCCGCCGCTCCATATGCGCGCATCAAACAACACGCGGAGGCACTGGCACAAGCTTGTAGTACCGGATTGGAAGCCGGTCGCCCACCAACTCTGCTTCGAACGGAGAGTGGTGAATATGTGGGACTGTGTACCGCCGCACGTAGTCGAGACAAAGTCTGTCGGATTTCAAAAAGTCCTTTGACAAGCACTGCCCATATGAAATGTCGCGAATGCTTTCCAACATAACAGATCTTTCCACTTGAAGCATTTTAGATACAACTGCACAGAGACATCTTTATTGCTGTTTCCATCCAGTGTTCAGTATATTAACAAGGTGGTGATTAGTTCTCTTAACTATCTGTTGTTCCATTGAGTTACTAACGATGAAAGTGAAAAGTTTGTCTCTCTAATCACCCGCTTTACCATCTGCTGGGGTTTCCTTCATCACAGCCGTTTCCCTACCGTATTCATAACATTAGTTTTAGCGCTTTTTTGACTGATTTCCATATTTTTTCCTAATCTAATACACAACGTGAAATTCGAAGTTTTGACCGCACTCACTTTTCTTAGGAATGTGAGAAACCTAACTCGCTTTGCTGACTCATGGAACCATTCAATGCTCATTAGTTCACATCACTTCACTTTTTTCTTAGTGCTTTCGGTGCTATCGGTTAAAGTTTTGAATTTTCCACCTTTCTCATCATCCTCACCTTGTCTCTTTCAGATCGGATACGGAAAATTTCGACCTCCTATTCGCTCTTGTTGTGGGTGTGGCTCGGCTTCGTTCCGTCGCTGGCCTTCATCCGCTTCGGTTGTATCTTACCCACACACTGTTTCCCACTGTATCCTTCAGTTGGCATCGTCGTCTATTCCTCCATTTCGTCGCATCAGTGCGCGGTCACTTGTCCGATTCACACTGCTCACCGGATCTGCGTCACCTCTCACCGGGAGCAGGAAGCTCTTCGGTTGTAGCGGAAGATATCTATCGTCTTCTGGCCCATTTGATCATTCCCAGCTTTGGCTACGCATTAGAGCGAGGCCCTATAGAGGAATTCCTCGGTGGACCACCAGCACCGTTGGAAATGAACGGTTTGTCCCAGTTCATTGTTACTAGTTTATGAACGCACTTCTCATGTGCGGCTATCCAAAACACAGTGCTCCGTTCATACGTATCTTTGATGCTGTTTGCTTGTCGTGTACATTACTACGTCGTCGTTATGAAACTGTGGGCTGAGTCGCCCTCATTGCATTGGCAATCATTATGAGCTTTCTTCTTTGTTCAAGAATACCGCTTGCTTTCAATTCACTCCCCTAGAACCACACGCGACGCGGTCTACTCCGCAATGATAACATATTTTCAAATGGCAACATGTTCCTGCTGTCTTCCTCTTGCTTAACTATTTTTAGCTTCTCGCGGCGTGTAACGTTTCCTATTGCATTTCACCTTCTATAAGCTGGCTTTTCACTATGTTGTGCAGATTGTAGGTTTACCGCCCCGTTAGTCTTCTAATCGTCTCTGTGTTAGGTTGGCGGCTGTTTATGCTGTCTATCATGGGCATGCGCAAAACATTTTTCTACTCTGCTTGTGATTACACATTTTTTGCATTAATAGCGTTAAGAGACACGAGTTGCGCGTTGCATTCCCACTTTTCTACCCTTTTGATTCCAATGCAAACTTGACTGACTTGTTCTCAGGTAACACGCACACCTACGCACTTTTAGTCTCATTTGAAGATGAGGCAGTTTCTAGCTCAGGTGCACTTCAGATGTGCCGTTCATACCATGGATTGATCCTGATGTGATTGTTTTAGTGTGCGTCGTTGCTACCGTTCGTTATCGTGCTTTTTTCTGCGTTTCAGATAGTGACTTGGTGCATGTGTTCGTGACCACCTTGCTGTCGGATCCAGCGATGCACTCGCACACCGAGCTGCGTGTGATGTGCTACCAGTTAGCGATCCTGATTGTGTATCATGCACCAGAGTATGTGCACAGCGAGGCAAGCACGTACGTTGCTGGTTGTTCTACTCCATTAGTTGTCGCAGTTTGTTCCCCCCCCCTTCTCTTGCCTGTTTGTGACTCACTCATTCATCGCTTTTTTCGGCTTAGGTTGTTTGCACTGAGTCATTCTTGCACTGCATCTTCCATTCGGATCGTATCACCCAATGTATTTTTGCACATTTGTCTCCGGATCTTTCTTCCGGAGCATTTAAGCCTCCGTTATGTTAATCCTCCATCTTTCTGGGCGATGTCAATTACAAACATCACCTCCCCACTAGCTCCGATGCCAACCGAAATCCAAAGTTAACATCCTCACACTAATGTGTCATGATCAACTACCAAAATGTTACAAGTGATGTGAAAATCAACGCATTGTAATATGTTGGCTACCAAAGATAGCAGTAGGGATCCGGAACAACCAATCAGGATGTAGGTAACTGTGTCTCGTGGCGGATTTGCATTTTCCTGTAGCGACTTGGAGACTATCTAACATAGTCTCTCAAATCGTTTTTTTTGTTGAAAAAGCTTTTCCAGGCAAGTTTTACTCTATCCTGCAGATGTTACTACTGCAATATGCAACCATGTGATGTGATGTCTAAAATTTGTTTAACAGGTGACAGCTTTATTTCTATATTGCCACACCTGTGCACAGCTACATACGGCTTGGAAGCGCGGGGGAAATCTTTCGGGGGAATGCTCTGGGTGGAATGAGGCTCCCTGGGGACGGCTGCATGGATGGCTGTATTGGTTTACTTGAACATTATGTGTTAGCTCTGCATTTGTTATTATTCTCATTTTCTTGATTTATCAAATGTTTTCAACCTGCCAATCATTTTAAAATTCCGTTTAGGATCCTTCGTGTGAAATGCGAACAACTACCTATTTTATTATGTGATCTCGCTGTACAAATTGACCAGCTCACACATTTGGAATAGGCCTCGCACGGTCGAGGAATAAACCAATTAACTGTCTACTTCTCTCGTCACCGATATGCTCGCAGCCATCGTTCAGATTTGCTTCAATGGTGGCTCTTTGTCGTTAACATTGACCTCCACATACACACACACATGAGTAGAGAATTGGGTAGCATTCCCTGATCCATACTCATCGACAATTTTTCAATTCGATCTATTTGGCAACTGTTCCGTTGCTTCATCTATCTTTGCTGAATTCCATGACTTCCCTATCCCTTACCGTGATAATCACTCGTCTCCAGGACTCTAAAGCCACTTCGGACTATAATTGATCAACAGCATTAACAACTGTGTTGTTTAGGCTCTCTCACCTTTTATATCAGTAAAATAATCAGTAGGAGATTCCATTAAGGGTTCCCGCCGGCAAGAAAATAATGCTCTTATCACAGAGCGCGTCGATAGCATTTTACGGTAGGATTTTATGGGGCATTCAAAGGCCGTTTGTCTGGCTTCTTAGACCACCCATCAAACATTTGTGAATCTTATATTGCTCGTCAGTAACAGAATTTTAGTTGTAATTTTTGAAGTACTCATCTCAATGAATATTTCCCTTTTTACTCAACCTCTTTTCTCTCCAAGTTTTGCTGTTTGCTACTTATGTATCGCTTTACTGGTCTGTCGCCTGCTTTCGCCCCTTTTCCCATCTCGACTGCGGTTACCTGGCCTCGTAGGTATCACAGCAATTCAGAACCTTCTAGCTGCGTTGCATATGGACCGTACTTCCCCTGCTATTCGGAAGCTCCTTGCTGACACATGATTCTTCCATTTCTTAGGCATCTACCCCTAACTACCTCCTCTCGTCTATGCCCTCTCAGCGAACGCAGCTATCGACTTGAGCGTCTAATCGACTTTGCCTGGCCTTGCACTTTGAGCAGCCTCAGTGTGGTGGATCTGCAAGAGAAATACACCGGTTTGCACTTGTTGGCGCATATAATCGCCAAATTTCCGGTCGCCCAGACAATGGCGGTGCAGGTGTTCCAGTGTCTTGCCAAGGGAACGCACACAGAGACAAAAAAGATCGTGAACCCCGCTCTCGACGTACTCATCCCCGCTTGGATTCGGACACCGGAGGATCAGGTGAGTTTTACACAACGCACTTTTCTGACATGCTCCACACAAAATAACCCTTCGAACTTGCATTTCTTGGCGTTTTCTTCTAATCGGGTCTTCTGTGCCCATGCGGCATTGTCAAATGCTGGGTAGCTTCTTTCTGATTGTGGACCTCCTACTTACGGGCCCCACAATACAGTGTGCAGCTGGCTCCTTTGCGCGGCCACAGTTTGCTGTTAGCCATTTAGTGGTCCGTTTCAACCCTGATTAATCAATCCACTGCTATTTGCAAAGAAATCAATACTTATACCTAACTGTTTATCTGCTGCGTACATCCTCCTTAACACTGTAACTTGTGTGTGTCCTGATTTGTCTCAATGAACCTTGTTATACAGAAACTTCTCGCCTCTGTTACTCGGAAAATTATGCTGGAAGATCATGGAATTCAGTCCTGCATTCATCTTCTGTAAGTGTCTTCAAATCGCAATTTTGCTACTTTCGCTTTCTGCTTCACATGTATTTTGTTACTTTGGGGTAACATCTATGTGAGCTCTATTGTTGTTTACCTACTTTTGTGCTAGACAATGGGTTTCCCAGCGTGCGGCGAGAGTTTTGCTTAGCTTAACTGTGGCATCTAGTTTCCGTGATTCTAAATTGATATCACATATTTCTGTCGATTTACGTTCTTAAACTACGCATGCGCCGTGATGATATTCCATTTGGCCCCTGGACCCCACTGTTTACCTCATTGGGTGATATCCTCCTGCTGCAATGACAGAATTGAAATTCTGCGCAAAGGTTATGCATTTTTTTCTCCTTCATCGAGGGAAGTCCTGTACTTGGTACTGGCTGACAGCTCGGTTATCGATGTCACGGAGCCCTAATCTAGCTGACGCTACGCTCGACAACTCCATCGGAGTTGATACAGCAACCTAGACGCACATTGTTCAACTCGATTAGCCCCTAGATGTTGGCGAAAACTAGTGTCTCATTAGCCCTGTCTCGTGACTCCACCTTGGATCACATTAGTGGAAGTTTAGTCCAAAGGAAGCAGATAAAACCATCCAGGATCATTACTTTAGCAAAGTTGACACCCAATCATCTGTTTCAGTTCTCGCTTTGATAAAGGTGCCGGGATGTGCTGCAACGACACTGGACGCGATGGTGCGATGGTTTGTTTACCCCCGTGACCCGTTGAGTGGCACTTTCCAAGTGCCTTCGAAGCCCCTCGTACCACACAGGTCATTGATTAAGGGTCAGACTAATTCAGTCCCACAATTCCCTCCTCTTCGGAGGTTAGGGAGAGGTCGTTGGCCCTCTTCCTTTAAAACCTAGCCATGGGAGACAACTGTTCTACAGGTTATAAGCTCAGAGCTCAATTAGCATAGATCACGAGCGCCACGTATTGTTTCTGACGGTAGGAGGAGATCTTCGGGGTGTTCAATGGTTTGCTACCGCCCGCCTCAAGCCACGCGGACAGACGGCTGACCGTGGTCGCAGGTGCGTAACGTAATACCGTCATAAAAAACATGTGAATTACACCAAGTCTTCAAAGGCTACGTGTGATAGGCCTCGAGCAGACATCAGTGGGTCTTGGCAATCACATTCCCGAACTGGACTTGCGCCCCACTTCTCTGTGGATCAGGCTTTTGAGCCAAAGGCTCCGCGTAAAGTCCCTCAGGCGAACCTGCCGTATCCCCCACTGCCTTGTGGGTCAGACTGTTGAGTCAAATGCTGGAGGTAGCACAGCTCGAACAAAACGCCTCTCGGACTGGGGCGGCCGCTGAGTATCACCTGCGTTCTCGACCACATCGATAATACTTCCTCTTGTTATTTTTCTTTCTCCTCTCAACTCTCTTCTTTCACGTCTATTGAGCAAGAATCTGCCGCTGACCTCGATGCTGCTGCCATTGATACTCCTAACTCGTCCATCAAACCAAGAGTCTCATTTCAAATTGGTTCTTTTAACGTCCGTACTTTGGGTCAGATCCGTCAACGAGCAGCATTGATTCTCACTCTTTACTCTCTTGGTATTGACGTGTGCTGTGTCTCCGAATTACGCATACAAGATAACAGCGTTGTGACGAATCTTCGGCTTCCTGGTTCTGAATCAGACGACAGTGACTACACTCTTTCCATCTCTGGTGATACCGAGTCAATGGATCAAGGTATTTACGATGTTGGCATTACCCTCAGCAAACATGCCGGAGGTACTCTGCTTGACTGAATACCGCTACACAACCGCATGCGTGCGGTTCGATTTCGAACCTCTACTGGGGTTAACAAGCACCGCCCGAATACAAGGTGCCTTGTCATCGCCTCCGTTTATGCTCCTATTGATTTCAGCTCGGATGGTACCTATTACCATCTTTCATCTCTTCTCCGCATGGCGAAGAATACTGACATCCTGAATGTTGCTGGTGACTTGAATGACCAAATGGGTCGTCTTGCATATTCTGAACGATAGCTGGGTGGGCGCTTCTGAGTCGATGCACATCGAACGTACAATGGTGATTGATTCCTGCAACTGTACACCGACCACAATCTTTATATTCTCAGCACTGCTTTCTAGCACAAACGTTCACATCGTATCACCTGGCGCCCACCGAATTCCTCAATTAGCTGCACGCTAATTGAGCATATTGCCATCAGCTACAGGTGGCTCACATCATTACTAAGTGAAATGAATGTTGAAGGTCATTTTGAAGTACACGTTGTGTGAATGGATTGCGACGCGCCATCTCTATCTGATGAGATGTAATGACATCGAAACGCGTCATAGTAGTGTATCGCTTCCGGGCGATCAACACCCAATTACCATTTGCATCAGCTACGGTCCTCGTGATCGAAAAAGCAAGGTTCACTTCAATCGGAATCGCGGTCAACATTGAGATTGCGTGTCGCAATCCATCCACACAACGTGTACTTCAAAATGACTCTCAACCTTGTTCATTATGCCGTTGTGCCAGGCGTTGCCCGTCTTGACCCGGTGGCTTAGGGGTAGCGGTCACAACTAACATCCCGATGGTCCCGGGTTCGATGCCTGCTAACTCTATCTGATGAGATGTAATGACATCGAAACGCGTCATAGTAGTGCAGTCCTTTCAGGCGAGCAAAACCCAATTACTATAACCAAATGAATGTTTTATTCCCGTCAGTGTGTGGCACGCCTGCGAAGACATGATCACGATAATACAAACAGGTATGGTCGGTAATCATGTTAAAGTATAGCAGATTAAGCAGTCGCATACTGGACTTGGTTCGCGGCATCTGGTTTCGGATTTGCCTGTCACTGTGGCAAGCCACAGGACGCCTGCGCCTACAGAGGGACCATGGATGGCTTGCGCTGCACCACCCACAGCTCCAACCACACACCCCATATCCAGTGTAAACCCGAAGGAATAAGACCGGGAGGCATGTGGATGGGAGCCACGTTTCATCAACGGAGCCGGCCCACACTCCTTCACAGGCAAACACAAGTACACTGTATTTGGGGAATCAAGCGCACACAAGGCGGTGGCTGGACCGTAGTCCGCTCCACACTGAGTGCATGGAACCACTCTTCGAGCCTAACACGGCCACACGGACCGTGCACCCCGTCCCCTCCAGCAACGACCAACTGTCTCCTGGAGCCAGTATGGACGACGTAGTGGGTAATAGACAGGTAGGCACCTTGTCAACATGCACATCAAGCGCAGCCACACCGGGGATATCAAACAACAGCCAATCACTTGAGAGAGAGAAAGAAAAAGAGAAAAACTCGATTAATGCATAAGGAAACGGTGACATAAACCTTAATTAAATAGCATACGTAATAAGTTGTTTACAAACACATCCTAGCAAAGTGCACGAGGTCAGGAAGTATAGTTCACGGTATGCCACGAACACAAAAATGTTATGGAAATCGAATACAATTGGCTGAAGCGATGTGTGCAAGTTAATGGAATAGAGTACAGGGAGATATTTATATGAGAAAGAAAAGCAGTAAGGTAAAAACTGTAAACCCACCACCTGAAATAAAGAGACTTAGCATGCAAGCACGCGGTTAGTAAATCGAATTCAGCGTGCCTACAAACGCTGCGCCGGCTCGCCGTAATTCTCTGCAGGACCCGTCGTCGCTTCTGTAGTGGCCCCAAAGGACCTAGCTCATGGCCCACTAGACATTTATATGAGAAAGAAAGGAATTAAGAGAGAACCGAAAACCCACCACCTGAAATAAAGAGACTTGGCATGCAAGCATGCGGTTAGTAAATCGAATTCAGCGTGCCTACAAACGCTGCGCCGGTGCTGCCTACGTTCACTGCGGGACCCGTCGGCGCTTCGGCAGTGGTCCCGAGTGACCTCTCTCATGGCTCACTAGGCCTGCCTGACTAAGGCACTCGCGACCGCATGTTCTACAGCACAATGCGCTCGATGTCGATGGAGTACAATTCATCGGTGCTTGCCGCTTCCGCAACTGCCGCTTCTTCTCTGCATGCATGAGGGATTTCTCCCGCACCTCAGCAACTGCCTTCGTGATTAGATCGCGCCACGCACGCCGATCAACCGCCTTCGATTCCCATGATCTGCAATCAAGATGAGAACGTGTGAGGCTCACTTTAATCATGTCCCGGTAACGTAACTTTGGTTTCCCCACGTGCCGCTTCCCAATACTCAGCTGACCGTATAAGAGTTGTTTCGGTATCCGCGTCGAATCCATACGGCTCACATGACCGAGCCATCTCAGGTGTCTCAATAAAAGTATGCAGTCCACTGCATACATCCCACTTCGGCGCAACACTTCCGTGTCTGCAACTCTGGCGCCCCAGCCGATCCGCAGAATTCGTCGCAGACACTGCTGATGGAACCGCTCGAGATATCGCACATCCCGCCGGTACATCGTCCACGTTTCACTGCCGTATAGAAGAACGGACAGTACCATGGATTTGTACACCATCAGCTTCGTGCCAATGCTAAGCTGATGGTTGTTCCACACTCGGTACTCAAGCTTCCCGAATGCCGCTGCCGCCTTCGACACGCGATTACGCAACTCAACGTGTAGCTGCTGATCAGTCGACATCACACTCCCAAGGTAGCAGAAGCGGGAGGTGGTTTCCAATACTTCAGCACCAATGCTGATTTGCGGCAATATTGAAGATTGCACTTCCGGTGAAGGCTGAAAGAGACAGACAGTTTTGCTTGTGTTGATAGTGAGCCCGAATTTGGCCGCTGTCGAAGCCAGAGCACTAGTCATGTGCTGCAACTCATCCGCGTTGTGTGAAAACAACGCACAGTCGTCAGCAAAGAGCAACATACGGATAGTTGTCTCACAGACTAGAGTTCTCGCACCGAAACGACGGATGTTCAGCAACCCACCATCAATACGGTGCTCCACACGAACACCGTAAGCACAAGCCGCATCAAAAGCACAAGACAACATTGCATGAAGATAGATATTAAACAGGGCAGGAGCTAAGACACAGCCTT